GTGATAATTATGCAAAATGAGTATAAATTTGTAATAACAATTCTAAGGGTAAGGATGAATAATATTTTGTTAATAAATTCCTTAAATGTAAAATTGTATTAAATATTAGTTTTTGGTATTTTTTGAAAGAGCTGTGACAGATCCCAAGGACGTTATATATCGTATGGGACGTGTCCCTGGCCAAAATTATGGCTCTCAAAAATAATTATTACCAATCGGTCAGTTTAATTTAGCACTAACAGTATAGAACAAACAAAGACATACTCAAAGTTATATCTACAAAAAATTTGCATTATTCGTATTCATCAGAACAATATTCTTATTTATACATATAATAGAAATGATTCGATTCAAAAATTAAATTCCGTAAAAATATTTTCAAAAATGAAAAACTTTATTATTAAAATTTAAAAAAGTGATTTTTCTAGATAGGGGAAAAATATAAAAAATTGCGCAATGAATGTCATATGTTTATGAAAAGTTTTGATATTTACGTAGAATATATTTTCCTTATTCATATTCTATTCGAATATTTGAATCAGAGGCCTGCAAGGCCCTAAATTTTAATTTTTTAAAATATACCAAGGCCGGATCTAAATTTTTTAAATATAACCGGTCCGGGCCTAAATTTATTTTAAAAATACCCGGGCCGGCCGTATACTTTAAAACCAAATGTTTTAAATCGCCATTGTTACCTATAAAAATTAAAAATAAATATAATATATTTAAAAAAATCCGGCCCGGACCTGAAAATATAAAATCTGGTATTTGTATAATAAGATTCAAATAACGAAATGAAATACCTTATCTGCCAAATTAATGAACTGTACCATAAAAAAATGGAAAAACAACCAATCTTATTGCTATGTAAAAATAAAAGAATTCAGGCATAATATTTTGTCTTTGAGGTGTGTGTGTGTAAGAGTAATAATGTGTATAATAATAAACGAGAAAATTTAAAAAAATATATATCATTGATTTTTTCCCCCAAAAATTTATAATAATATATTCTTCAAGGCAACAACTATATAGATTTAGATAGAAATTTTTTTCAATTTACATTTTAAGTTAAAATTTTGTTTGGCTTTTATGAGTAATAAATACCGAAATCTATATTTATTTATAATTGGGATTACGTTTGGGGTTGGTGATTTGTTTTATTTATTTTTTTACATTATGAGATAGAAATATAATAATGTATCGCTGTTTATTTGAGTGTTTTTTAAAAAAAAAATACAATATAAAAATAGCTTGGACCTTCATAATCTTTTTTTTTCTAATTGATATAGGTAATGGTTAAAAATCGGCAAATTTGGCTCTATGAAGCATTGAGGCGCAAGATAATTTATTTACGCCTTATTCAAACTATGCTTTCAACAAAAAAAAATTCGGGGCTAAGCTGATAGTTTTTGGCTAAAAACTAGATTTGGGTTTAATTAAATTGAGACCTATTTTAAAGCAACTCGTTTTTAATTTTTTTTAATAACAAGTAAAATTGTCAATAACAACAATTACCCTTTTTGCCATATTTCTTTTTTTTACCTTTCCTAAACAAAAATTCTCAAAAAGACGTATATTTTTTTTAAACAAGGGAAAATAAGAAGACGTTATTCCAAAAAATATAATTTTTTTAATACATATTTACTTTTATAATAATAATATTGAAAATTCTATTCAAAAGTTTTCGTTTTCTTTCTTCGTTTTTAGCTGATGGGCATAAAAAATTTATTAACCATCTTTAAAATAACATTTTTTTTCCTTTACAAAAATATACTTTATTTTTATTTTTTTTTTTTTAAAAATTCCTCTTAACAAGAATATACTATTGATTACAACCACGGGGTCAAGTCAGCTCTCTCCCCCAAGTTTTTTTTTAGTAAAAGACATCAAACCGTTATATAACATAGCGTTTGCTATGACATTAAAATGTATAAATGGACAATCAAAAGGATATGCTAACTGGGTGAAAATGAATGTCATACTATCAAATGACCTAAATGAAGATAGCATTGTTATTTTTCTTCTTCTGATACATTGGATCCACACTTATAATTATATCAAAGCAAAGCTTGGCCTGTTGTATTGCCGTATACTAACGAATTTTATGTAACGTTTATTTAACTACTTTAAGGCTTATATATTAGAATCAAATGACTTGGTTCAATAATTAACCACATATTTCTTAAATCATTCCAAACTTATAATTATGCAATACTAATCGAACTACTAAATATTAAGACAAATTATGACGCGTATATTTCATACAAATAATTTGTTATCTTATCCGTTATAATATATTTTTGAGCCTTTAGATTTAGTTGACAGATGTTAATTAATATACAGCATTATATATACAATGAAACATAATATAATATTTACAATTACAAAGGAATTATTTTAAAGGTAAGTCTGATAAAAATGACTATTAAAAAGATAATAAATCTTGTTTATTTATTTTTATTTTTAAGTTTTTATATAATTTTATGTTTCTTATCTTTTGTCTAAAAGTGTACCGATATAAATTTTTTAGAAGATTATCTGATCTCTGTTATTACTAGAGACCTACTCTTATCAGATTGCCTTGTTTTTTTTATTGGACTGTTGAAAAGTAAGATATTTTAACGGAATCCGAAAATTATAAGCGCTTGAAAGATGGTAAATAATTTGATGCTTACTCTCGGAAATAATATTATTAAAAAGTTTAGGAAAACAATAATATTTTAAAATTTTGTCGTCCGGCCCGAAATAAATGTTAAAATCAAGGTTCGAATCCGGTCTAGTTCATGTAAATGTAGCCCCTAATCGAATTTGGGCATTGGTCTATTCAGGGTTTTCGATATTACCCATATCAAATTTCATTTTTATAGTAAGAAAAATTATGAAAGGAATTATCAAAATATTTTTAAAAATGGGTATTGGATGGCCGGGATTCGAATTAAATTTCATATGGGTTTGGGCCTCACCTATGTTTAAAATTTTAAACGTTTTTTAACGTTTAACCTTTTTTCCTATAAGCAATTAAGTGTATATATATTCTATTTTAGATAGGAAGGCGGTTTGGGGCTGAAGGCGATAAACTATCAAAATATTATGAAAATATGGAGGTATTAATTTTAATATGATATGAGGTACTTTGCTATCTTAAGGTATTTCTGACGAGCGCGTTTGGGCAATCGGTGGTTTTTATACATGTATATTTTTTTTCGTTTTGTTTAAAGGGGTCAAAAAAATGTATCTCCCAATTTCGCTATTACCTAATAAAAGATAGAATCGTTGCCAGTTTACATAATGATGCGTAATAGGCACATGATATATGTGCCAATAAAGACTAAAGTACCCCATAGATATTTTTATAAGGGTATGCGAGACTCGCTCTCGCTTAAAAAAATCTCTGTGACCATCATTTAGAAGCGACAAAACGGTGATTATTAAGGATATGCTGGGCAGATCAGGCCTTATTTAAATTTTAATATACTCGCAGGTCTCTGATTTATGCGTCATATGTAATTAATATATTTGGCGCCATTATAAAAGTTAATTTATGATATCATTTCTTATACTGGATAAAATATAAATAGATGGCGAATTCTTTTTACACCATATTTGATTGATATCATAACAAATAAGTAAGTTATCATATTATTTATGTAAGTTAAAAGAAAATAATGGTTGCTAACGCAAATGAAATGTATAATAAAACATTAAATTTGTTGATAGTAGTTAGAAAATAGACTCTATCCACCAACAAAAAGTTTACATCTCTTCCATAACACATGATAATTAAATTTTACTAAACGTGTTAGTATCAAAATATGTTGGATAAACTTTAGTAAGAATTTATAACTATTTATTATATAAAATTCCCTACTCTCTTTTTCCTTAGACTAAGAAATCCAAATCAATTACTCATTGTACTATATGGCAGTGTCATATTTAAGAAAACCCATATTACGCGCTTATAGATAATAATAAATAGTAACTTTTAGTAAGAAAAAATCTTTAAAACCTCTAAAACAATGATTATAAAGTTGAATTTGATCTCGATGAAGGAGAGCAGGAACGCATAACTCCAACTCCTTTTATTTTAAAGCAAAGTTTTGTACCTTTATAAAACTAACTTTAGGTTCTGTATACTTTAATAAGGGGTTCCGGTTCCCATATTTAGCATGCTTCCGCGGGTTCCAAGTTGTGGTTCTTCTTTCACTCTATAAGCAATAAAAATATTTTTTCAAAAATTGTTTGAACATTAAGTAAATCCTCTAGAAATTCTTTTTAGTAGTACTTTTGTTAGAATCAGTCTGAAATAAAGGCATTTTTGCGTTTCTGTCCCGATCCCCTGTTTCCAGAAAGCGTTCCTAAAAATATTCTAATCTTATTTCTACTTTATTATATATTATACCTATGTAATATTAATTAAGACGTTTTCTAAAAAAATTATCATTTATATTTGTGCGGTGGTGTTAATATAAATTTGAGTGTCAGCTCTCACTAACTTAGTAACAATATTATCCATTAAAATTTAAAACCTTTATTATACAATATTAATTTAATAATTGAAATAGTTAAAATAGTTGTTTCAAATGATTAAATTTTTTTTTTATAATTTTAATTCTTAAAATCACATAAAAATACTAAATAATGGGTAATAATATTGTTGTATTGAAATTAAGAAAATATAAAATGAATATTTATAAATAAGCCATCATAATTGAATTTTTAATATTCTTTTTAAACGTACCAAAATTGTTATGGCTCATTCCTTTTACATTCCATAATTTTCCCCAATTTCCATCCCAGAACGTTCGGTCATGTGCCTGGTCGATTCCCAAACCTTAGAATTTAAAAATGAGTTCTTGTTCCCAGATTTCTCCCTGCTCCAGTCCCAAACTGTTTTAAACTTGCACATAAAGTTAACGCTTTTATAGCCTTATTTCAAAAAATAAATACATCTTTTACTTAATCAAGGTTTCATAACAAAAACTATTTTCATTTATCTATAGATTGGCTCTATACGTTTACGAATATTTATTGCATGTTGGCGCCCAGAAAGCAGCTCAAACATTCCTTTCCGAAGTTAAAAATATATAATTATAAATACATATTTTCCCATCAATCCAGTTTTTAAATAACGATAATTATTTTATTTATTGGCATGATCACTTTATAGTTCAGTTTTTTTATCGAATTAGAGGGTCTAAGAATTAGTGCTCTTCATCGGGCTTAATTTTTTGAGCTCAGGCCAAAGAAATTTTTATAAAATTTATTCCGATACGGCACGATCCCAAACGAATTTTGTTCTATTTGTCCCAAAAAGTCCTATCCGAGATAAAAATTATTTGTCCTCCCTTCCCGAATTTATTTAAATAGAGAAAAATTTAACATTCTCTTAATTTGTAATAAAATAATCTACAAATAAAAAATTGGCGTCTTGATTCCGCAAGAATTTATTTATTTTACAAATTGAACGATTATTTAAAAATTTACGGACCCGGCACGTTTTAAAATATTCGGGATTTGCAGATGATCTCTACTGAAAAAGAAACCTTGGATTATTAAACATATTTTATATTTTTTCAAATCTGGGTAAATCAATAAATTTATAAATATATTTTCATTTAGATTCGCTGGGAAAAAAATATCACTTTGGGCGAACCTCCAGGGTTCCTGCACTCTTGGTGGTGGTAAGTTTAACTTACTTTATATAAAATATCTTATATTCATCTTTATAAACTCACGAATCTGGATTAAGGTTCTTAAAAATCCAAATTGTATAATATTAAAGTTATGACAGAAAGAAAAATAGAAAATTTAGTTATAGTGAACTCTAATATCATCATAATTAACTAATTGATCATATAAAGTTCATAGAACCGTGCTCTCTTATCTTTTAACAGAAATTTGCTACTTTTATATAATTATGAAATTTTTATTTCGATATACCCTATTCAACTTATAAAGCGTATTTTGGGATTTGTATTGCGCTGCTCCAGAAAGAAGAGAATCATGCGAACATAGTAGCGAAGCTAAAGCTTTCCACGATTACGTATATTTACAACACTTACTATATATATTATATTTAGCCTCAAAATACTTCAATATTTCATATAATAGAGCATATATTATTTTTAAAATTCTTATACATTTAGGGTTTCGTAAATTCTGGCTACCCTATCAACGGCATTACACACGTAATAAAATATTTTAATTCATCATTTCATGATTTAAAAAAAATGTTCAATGTGAAAGCTGGTTTATGTATAACTTCAAAGGTGGTTCATTTAGTCTTTTTTGTTGAAAGTCATGTTCATAGTTGACATTAGCCCTGTATCGATCCTATTTTTTCAGGTTCGATTTGATCCAAGGAAAAATTAAATTTTTGCTCGGCCGATCCGATTTCCTTCGGTCTGATACAAGTTTTAAGATCCGACCGACACGAGTTTAATCCGTGCAGGGCTCTAGAACATATAATCTATATCGAGTGATCATATTATCAAGTCACTATAAGTGAAATTTTTTATATAGTTTGTATCAATATATTTTTTTTATTAGAACCCTAACACTCCTAGTCCATTAGGCCCGATAGCGCACAATGACTTAGGGCCATCAGGACCTATGCCTCCCGCCTTTTTTCCGGTAATATTTTTATCTCAAATAAAAGACATCTTGTACACATAAAATTTGTAATTTTCTTATTTTATCGAAGCATTAAATGAATGTTTTTAACAATTATTATATATTGCATTGAAATATCCATATCAAGTATAAGTTTATTGATCACATTGTCAGTAAATGTGCTCACAATAATCAGTTTATAACTATGGTCATTTTACAAAGACGGAGAAGTTAATTATGGGTTGTTTTAAAAACTCATTATTGGGTAGAAAAGATATAGAAAGATGGAGATGATTAAATTTTTTTGGAAATAGTGAATAATACTTATAATTTTCATTATTGATTTTAACATCATCCGAATATATTATAATAAATAAATAAAAATTGACCATTTTTTTCTTTCAAATGATTCTACATCCACGAGACAAGCAGTTATTTTAGCCTCATCTTTTATGAACACTAATATTGATTTAATAAGCCAACGATATAATATTATGTGTAGTAAAATTTTATTATATTTTTTTCTATTAAACGATATAATAAAAATTCTTAAAAATATATCATCAACAATAACCTATCTAATTTGAGCAATTTATTATTTGTATTAACAACAACCTGTTTAAGTTGACTACCTTATCTCCGGACTGAAATTTTTTTAAAAATTAATTAATTTTTTTTAATCGAAACGCTTTTTTGATTTAAATATCCGTATAATTTTTAGGGTCCTCTCCCCCGTGGCTCAAATTAGACAATCTTTACTTGTATTTATTTTATAAAATATTATAAATCATAATAAAATTACCCACTAAAATTATATTGATATCGATTTTATTTTTCGGAAAAAGTTTTAAAAAAAATTAATAATCATTTTTATCTAAATATATAACTAATGATTTATTTGCAATTTTTTAAAATAATATCAATGAATAAAATTCGTAATTTTTTTAGAGATATCTTACTTAGATGTTTCTTTTTTTATACCTTTCGCACCTTGATATCTATAGCTGAACCCTGCTGGGCAGGATTACCTCTCAAATTATTTTTTTTTAAGCGTGATGATGAATAACGCACCCAGGTCTGGCATGCACATTTCGAATATAGTTCATACACCTTGTCAATTTATGTTAGTTAATAGTAAAACTTATTCGTTTTTTGTTGGAGCGGTATTTACTTAATTTTATAAGATTCCTTTTGGGTCTTTTATATATAAAACATCTCTGAAGAGGTAAAGGTGATTGGCCATTCATGTCGACAATGAGATCAAAAATAAACCGATTCGCTGTGTTTATTTTCGAAGGCTTACTTTAAAATATTATATTAATTTTTTTTGTCAAAATTTGTCCTTTTTTCTTCTATATATATTTTTTTTAAACTAGTTTTTTGCGACAATTTTATCAAAAAAAAATATATATAAATTAATATTAAAAAATTAAAATTTTCTGCAAAAATCGATAATAATAAAAAATAAAATTGAAAAAAGAGGAAAAATAAGGGAGGATGTAATGAATGATAAAACAAATAATTTATTGATTTTAAGTGAATAATATTTTATAAAAAATTATTCTATTTTTATTCGGGATTTACATAACAATATTTACATATATTCTTAAAAAATGGAATAATTATTAATAAAATACAGTATAACTTTTTATAATCCACTTTATGATACTCCCTACGCATTTCTGGTTCCAGTTATAATTTACAATAGAGTCCTCTAAAGAGGGAGATTGCTTCAACATAATTGGAGGGAGAGGGGTCAGCGTCATTGGTTTGTGGGGTTTTGAGGGTCCTGCGATGCTTCAAAGTATATTAGTTTATATCAAGTCTCAGTAATTTTATCATTTACGTTGTCACGCTTTGAATTTATGCCCTCCCCCCCTAGAGATTTATCGTTATAAAAGTATTAATAAAACGATCTCGAATTTTACTCTTCTAATCTCCAGTTCCAAGAAATCTTAAATTTTTGTCGTTTTTCACTTTTACCTGAATTTCTGATCCTTTAATAACAATACTTTACGGTTTTTGGATAAAAATGAGTATTCACACGAGTGTGTTCCCATCTGGTTGACTTAATTCACTCAAATTAGGTAAGTTTTGCTCCGATATTGAATATGGGTATACTTATAAAAATAAATCTATCAAATTATGACCTCATTGATTATGTGTAATATAAAAATATATCGATAATTTAATATTTTATTAATATAATATTTATTAGAATTATAATATAAATAAAAATTATATTTAATTTAAAAATTATTAAGTATCAAGAAAAGAAGTAATAACATGAAAAATATTTGCGTTACGCTTGGGTTTTTATTGCATATTTTTATAATTAATTTTTTTTAACCAAAACCTATCTATTTTGTCAATAATAAAATATATTAAATTATTTTTGGAAAGGGTTGTAAAAATTACTGGGAACAATTTGGTCATTTAGGACCACCAATTATGTATTCTATACAGTTTATACCTATTAGAGAGCAGGGGGCTAATTAGACAATTTTTTTAAGTAATCTCTAAATTTTTCTTTAAATAATCATATTAGCTGAAAGTTTGATAACGAGTAATATTATTTAGTAGCAATTCTTTCAATTGTTTGATTTGTCAATGTAAATATTTAAACACATAATTTGGAAGCGTGCATTAAAACTATAAAAAGGTTTGTGAACCTGCTTGAACCTTTTGATATTCTAACTCCTTTAAAGAAGATCAATAATCAATTTGCTCAAGTTAGTATATAGAAATGTTCTCAACCATAGAATTTTTCTTTCTCCTTATAGGTATAATTTGACAGAGAATTTAGAAAATAAAAAAGTATATTTATTATATACAGCTCAATGGAATAATGACAAAATTTAAAAAAATAACATGCATAATCTAATAAACTTGTATGCGAAAAGGTTCAAACTGGTTCACAAAGGCATAAACAGAACCATATGATTTTTTTAGGATCAAACCTGAGCCATAAACCGTTATTTTTATTTGAATCTAAATAGAACCTTCGCATCCCTGGCGTAATATTAAATATTTTGATAAAAATTTATAGAATATAATAAATGACATAATTACTTAGAATTTTATTATATTAGTAAATTTCCCATAATCCCCATATAAAAGGCGATACCTGGGATGGGCATGTACCAAAACGGGTGATTTCTGGTTTAAGAAGAAATAAAAATGAATGTTAAGATAGAATCTTTCAGGACCGAGCTTGCCGTAATCTATAAAATATTTGCACAGCTTGATACCAAAAAGGGTAGCTTTCCTAATAAACCAATGACTCCTAGACACCCTCCCCCCCCCTCTCATGACAAAAATATAAAAAGGATATTTATATTTAGTATGTAATTTGAGTAAGAGATAGTAACTCAATGCCAGAAATGTCAGAGGACCACGTTAGAGCAAATCTATTAATTTTATTTTTCCTATAGAGTAAATTAGTTCCATCATTCAATAGTAAATACTGACGGGCGAAATCATGAATACAATCTTCCAAACCTAAACGAATTTCGCCAAAAAATTATGAAAAAAAATATTTTTTTGCTTAATACATATATATAGTATTTTATTTATAATTTTGATTATATTATAAAGTCGGGCCTGGGTGGATAATTTATAAGGCTCGCGGGTCAAAAAAAATGTCAATTTTTCGAGAATCTAATTAAGGGATGCTCAACTCAATTAATTAACGTTAGTTTATCGGTGATGTGATTGGTTCCCAGTTTTTTTTAAAAAATACGTTAGTTTGTAATTATAGCACATCTATTCGGCCAATTTTTATCCCTCGTTGTTTTCATGTTTACTACATAGGCTGCTATTATAACAATGCTCTTTGGCTAGTTATATATTATCGATTATTTTTCATGTAAAATTTTTTTTGAAAATTTGAAAAAAAAATTAAAATAAAAAGTGAATTTTTTTAAGAGGAAAAGATTATGAAAAAAAAAATAATATACTTTTTTTAAAAAAAAAAGTTTTATAATGTTAGCATCAATGTGTTTTTTTCCGGCAATGTGTTATTTTTTCAACTTTAAATCATTATTTGAGCGCCTTTTAAAAATTTAAAAATCTGATTTTACCGGAAATGTATGCCGTCATGTTTGGAATACTTACCCTATGAATATCAGACAATTTTTCCATGAACTTAAACTTAATATAATTTATATAAAATTTTTCATATAAATTATAAATGACTCAATTTACAGAAAAATTGTCTACAATTCATAAGATAGGTATTCCAACCATGATAAAATATATTTCCGGTAAAATCCGATTTTTAAATTTAAAAAACGCGCTCAAAAAATGTTTTAAAGTTGTAAAAAGAACACATTGACGTTAACATATATACTACATATCCGTGTTCTTGTTTAAAAAATAATCATAATTTGTGTTTATTAAAGTATGTCATGAATGATGCTTAAGATAGGCCCTTCTACTTGTTTTCGATCAAAATGGTAAAATTCGGTGATAAGGGATCTCTTTAAAGCATATGCCATGTTTACCGGCTGAGTCAGTTTTCATTTTTATTTATAGGATTGCTTTTGTAGAATGATAAATTTAAGTATCCTGAAACGAGAATGAGATTAAAAATTTAGTTTAGATCCTGTCACCTTATTTATTTGAACCTAACATACGATAATTTACATAATATCGCGCATCTGTTACCTTATCTTTCTTCGTTCACGCTCTAGCTAAGCTAATCAATCATAATAATCATGCTAAGCTAATCAATTTATAGACGTTTACTATATTCACTAAAATTGAATGTTGAATCTTGTTTTCTTTAATAAGAATTCGTCTCTTAGGCCATCTCCGCCTCATCATTCGTCATCACAACCTTCGCCTTTGAATCCACAAGGTCCACCAATGGGTCCAAATCAAATTATGTCACAAAATCAAGTTATTTTTTTAAAAATTGATAATATTTAAAATATAAAATATTTTTAATTGTCAGAACTACATGTCCCCTCGTTACGCGGGTGGTCGTGGTTTACCCCTAAGAATGCCATCTAATGAATTCAACGTAAAAATTCTTACTATAAATATAATGCTATTTTCAATTTTACATCTATATAAAAAACGATGAATGATATCGTATTATCCTTATTTTTTTATTAGCATCCACCAAATTCAGTCGTGGGTCACCCTCTAATGAACAACATTGACCCGAGACAAAGTACTTATCATCTTTTATTGCTTGTTATTTTATAGTTGGCAAACATTTTTTACATTTTAATAACAAAGTCTCAATGCCTTTAAGCGATACCACAGCTTATAGTAGGCCTATTCAAAAACGAATCGAATAGTGCATTATTCATATTCGATTTGTTTATACTAATCGAATAATTTATTATTCGTATTCTTACGAATAATAAAATTTACTATTTGTATTCGATACGAATTAATTGTTTTTAAAAAATATTATAAAATAATTTATACGAAAATATATTGAGAGAATTTTTAATATTTTTTTATTGTATATCTGATTTTAAATAGAAAATATTATTATGATCATCTGATAATTAATGTTATTAAATTGCTCGATTTGAGCCTATTTTTGAAAACGGCTAACTCAATAATGTGTGCCATCTATGAGCAAAACCTTCAGACTTGCATAATATTTTTCTGATTAAAATATTGAGTTAGACGTTTTTAAAAATCGGCCAAATCTAGCTGTATAATAACACCTGATAATAAAGAACATGCAATCAAGTTATTGCGAAATTAACTTTCTTTTTTTCATATTAATTAATTTATAATGTCAAATAATTTTTATGGCAAATAGTTTTTATTATTATTTCTAAGACACGAGATTTATGACAGCAAATTAATTAACAAAGAAAATCCTTTCACAAGCATTTTATGTATGCCTTAGTAATTACGTCACCCATTAGATTGATAGGTTATCAATAGAAATGAAATGACAACTATTTTGTTTTATTAAAAAACAAACAAATTTATTAATTAGAATCTAACAAATAATTCGAATATTCGATCAAATTATTCAAATATTTGATTAAATTAATCAAATATTCGGTCAAATTATTCTATTAATTAATTATTTATATTCGAAAGAAACGAATAATTCTCTATTCGTATTTTATAGAAACGAATAATTTACTGTTCGAAGCGAATTGAACACTCGATTCGTTTTAATAGGCCTACCATATAGAGACGACTTCAAAAACAAACTTTAGTTAGAGTGTATTATATAATTAGGACTCGACAATCAAAAGTGAATTTTGTTTATAAAAGGCGAACTTTTTGGTTTGATTTTCTATAAAAGACTATGGTCCAACTCAAAGAAACGTGCCGTTGCAACAGCTGATTTATTTAAATTTCTATTTGTCTATCTATAATTATATGACCTCTCAGATTTGACAAGTTAAATAAAAATAATTAAATTTTAATTAAGGACCATTTTAAATACTCTAACCCATATCGCCAAACCTTTGAATAAAACCCTACCCCATAATTCTAACTTTTAATCCTACTTTTACTTCGGATATACCTTTTAATTTTAAATATATTTAATCCAATTAAAAATCCTTCAGTTGAAAATTCCTTGAGTTAAACGCTATTATCAAAGAAAAATTTTTTCACCTTTGATGCGAGTCTTAATATATCGCGAATATTTCGCCAAAAATTTTTTTAAAATATATTTAAAATAAAAATAATAAACCGCAGTGCAACCTAGAATGAGTCCTCCAAATAATATGACAAGAGTTCCACTAGGCTCTAGGACACCTTTGGGTCACATGACTCCACCAAACTATTGTTCTCCTATGAGAATGTAACCAATTAATATTTAATAATTGCTTTTTGAATTATCATAGTAAACATAAAAATTTTGCCTAGGGCATTATTACAATACAAATGTTTAATTTTCACTATTAGGCCTAACTCCTAATGATTTAAAGTGAGACTTTCTTTTTAGTATTACCCAGATTTTGCCAATTTATTATATTTACTTTTCACAATTTGATTAAAAGATTGTTTTTTTTGTGAATAATCTACCATTTGTCAAGGGTTTTATAAACTAGATCAAAAAAATTTTTTGAGTCTCAAGATAGATTTTTGATTGAAATTGCAAATCGAAACATCTTTTATGATAAAATTATAATTTTCGATGCTCATTTGAAATTAAAAATGATTTAGAAACTTGTGTATATTATTCCTTTTTTTAAATTAAATTTAAAAAGGGAAAGAATGCCTCCTCATGGTTCGGGACCAAGATGGCAAAACAACAACAATACCTCATCGGTAATTATTTTTATAATCAATTCTTATCTTATAATTTTAACCAAGAAATCTTCCATTATAATTAGCTTTTTACTATACCATTACACTGAGAGACAGGTCTTTGAATCAAGACAAGATAGGTGTCAAATGACACTTTTCATTAACTAAACATGATTTTTCAAACTTCCATTAAGCCCCAACCCCTCTTGGGAAAATTTTGGGCTTAATTAGGGTTCATACTAATTTTTTTAATTAAAACTTATCAAACGTTATGGATTATATATAAAAAATAGATAATTTTTAATATAATATATATTGTTGAATTATGTTTTATCTTAGGGATTTAACAAAATTTTAATGGGCGGCTTTTTTTAAAAATCCGATTTTGCCGGAAACTACAGCATGTATGAGTACCTTAACCCGGTGAATTTCGAAAAATTTTGCTATGAATTTTTGTGCATTTTTTTTTAAATTTACGAAATCATTAGAATTTATATAAATTAAGGAGTAATTCAAACCTTCACAGCAAAATAGTCTGATATTCACGGTAGGTACTTAATACATGCCGGATTACTATTCACTATCAGACATTTATTTCGACCTAATCCTTAGGAAGCAAACATGAAATTCCAATAATAGTCTCGAAAATTAAAAAAAATATTTACACTTAAAATTTTTTAATTGAAAAAATATATAGTTAAATCAGAAATTATTTGATATCACTGATTAAATTCTAAATGATAAAAATATTTCCAAACCTCACCCAATTAAAATAAACTTTCCGACTCGATCCAACCCTAAATAAATCACAATTTCCTCATGTAGTTTCTTTTCGGATTGGGTTTAGCAGATCTATAATTCCGGTATAATCAAATCTTTAAAAAATAAAAATCATAGTTCACAATGATATCAGTTTTAAAGATGTGTTAATACGACATTAATCAATATAATATAAAATTATAACGTATGAATATATTTTGTTTTATTTACATTTTAAAAATTTGTTGATGGTTCTGAATTCGCGCCTATTTTTAATGAACCAAGCCTTGAGCCCGAATCAAACCTAGCTAAAAAATTTCGCGGGTTCGGAGCTCTGCCATATACATCCTTTTAGAAATCAATTAGATTCTAATAATTTTGGTGAAAATGTTTATCGGACCATCCTATTTTTATTATCTATTAATCTATGTCGACTTAAGGCTCTTATATTAAATTTCTCCTGTTATTTCGTCCAAAAAGAGTAGATACCTAATTACAAATACATTCAAATAAAGTAACCAATGACCGGGGGAAAAAATCTACATATGCACTTCACTTAAATTTGACAAGATTCACTTTGTATTAAACATTTTAAAAATATTGACATCAATTTTCTTTTAAAAAATAAAATAGATTAATAACTATTCCGCATCAAATTCGCCAATGGGATTTCACGTAAGCAAAAATTAAATAATTTTGATCTTGATCAGTGATATTTAGATTGGTTAAAATGATTAAGCATTGTCTATTTTAAATAATCATGTTCAATCTTATATCAATAATTTTTACCAATGTTTAAAAAAATAAAAATAGGGTTCAGGTGGGAATCTTATGCCTAGCCCACAAGGTAACTAACTAACTATAATAATTTAATTTTATGATTTAATTTATATTACTATTTGACTGTTAATAGATGGGAATCCCCCTGACATGAATTTCCCTCCATCAATGATGAAATCAATGCCAATGGGGAATCCACCTTTACAAGTTTATTTTTATAGTCGATGATATTTTTTTAAACCCATTATTGTGTGAAGAACAAAAAAATAGAAAAATGTTTAAAATCTGACTATACTTTAATAATCGAAAATATTTGTATCCCTTTAAATGGGGAAAGAAAAGATGAGTTCGATTTTATATATCTTTTTATAAATTCAAACATATAGTACCTTAATGGGCCAGGTCCCGGTATGCATAACATGAACCCGAACGGGGGCGGAAACAATGGTAATGCTATGATTCATCACCATAATCAACATCCACAATCGCATCACAATATGCACCAGCAACCTCAACACAACCCTAATAATCCACCTCATCAAATGCATCTGGCAATGATGGAATCTCATCCCCCACTCCATCTTAATATGCCATCTAACTTAAATATACCACCTATGCCCATCAATAAGTTAGTCAATAATCAATTTACTTAATGGGTTGATTTATATTTTTAGCTTTTCCTTAACTAATGCTAGGAATGTATAATTTATTATCTCACTTTTTCTTCAATAATAATGCTAATTTATTAAAAATTTATAATTAGCAATGGTAACAATGCGTCACATCATTTATCCAACGATTTAAACAGCATCGGCAACCCTAACAATAATAATCCTAACATGATAATGGACCAACATCCCAACATGATGGGCTCTCAACAATTGCCATCCATGGCTAATATGCACTCCGGCAATAATAGTAAATTACTTCCTAATTGTTCATAATGAGCATTATATAAATGGAATCAAAAGCCCAATTATTTATAAATTAAAAAAGAAAGAAATGAGAATCCTCTAGGTTTAGTGGCCCTTTTCGAGGTTTACGGTTAGGCTATTTTCACTTCTAATAACCCTTCTCAATATTCCGCGGTTCTGAGAATCGCCCCAGGTTAAACTTAGCGATTTCATGTAATTATCTAGCACCTTCATCTAGCCTGTCTGTATATAGAATACAAGCGAAACCTAAAAATAAGATTGGCATTTATGCGATATTTTTAATTTATTTAAATATCGGATAAATGAAAAAAAAAGTAGTAGTTTTCCCTCAACTCTTCGCATTTAAACGGTTTCAATGGTATTAACATAAACTATTTTAGGTATAGCTTGTTAAAATAGCAAATTAATAAAAACCACCTTGATAATAATAGTTCTTAGTATATCTACAATCGTCTCTTTTTTTAAATTTTTAGCTGAAATATTTGAAAAGGGAATCCATAATGATGATATTTCCTGAATATTTTTCACCCTATTCTGCTAAAATAAAAATAAGTGTTTTATATTAGGGTTAGTGAGGAAGGCTACATTTGAAATTAAGGAGATATAAATGCCTAAAGACCAAAGAAATTTTTAGATCAAGTTTTATCGAACTATATTTTTAAAAATTAGATGATGAATATTAATATAATATACTATAAAAGCAGGAGGACCCATGGGGAACATAGGTAACATGAAATCGTCCCCTGGCATGATTCATTCCTCTGCTAATATGATAGGAAATATCCAACAACTTTCCAATTTATCAAATAATGGCTCTAACAACAGCAACAATCAAGATAACAATCCTTCGCTCACGTCACCTGCTAATCTCGGCTCCGCTAATAATGGTTTTTATTTTTTTTAAACTACCTTTTCTTTCTATTATTTTTTATAATTTACTAACGAATTATTTAATTTAATTGTGTTATTAAGTAATAGATATTTAAAATTCTCAGTGTATTTTTCTTCTCAATATTTTCATCTGACTATGAAAGTCGTTTCTAATTAATATCACAATATTGTTATTTATATTTGATAAAAAAAATTGTTCCCCTATACAGCTAAATCAAATGGGTAAAGATTAAAAGAAAATTTAGCTTTGAGAACTAATGTGGGAAAGAACCCTCATTAAAAAAATATTTTAATGATTCAAGTGAAACCAAAATCTCATAGCTAATATTTTTAACATATTTTAAGTTATAATGTTTATTGATTACTAATCATAATCTGTCCTCTTAACATTTTAAAGGTGGCGGAGGTCCCAACCTAATGCACAATATAAACGTCCCTTCGAATAGTTCTCAACAAGGTTGTGGGCCTGGTTCTTCCTCTTCTGCCAACGATTGGATGTCACCTCCTAATAATAGTAATAATAACCCTAACCTGAACAGCAATAACAACCTAATGGTTAACAATAATGCCAACAATGGAAATAACGGGAATAAGCCCCAATCCATATGTTCATCTCAGTCGGGTTCTTCTCAGCAAAATGTGTTCGGGATAAAGGATGTAAACTTTCTTCGTTTTACAAAAACCCAAAAATGGCAGTTTTTTTAAACTGAAAAAAACATGTTAAAAATTAACCTTCGATATTAAATGAAAATATAGATATTTTAAATGACCAATCCAAAACTCTGGCCGACCTTTAAATAAATCGCCATCATATTTGTCAGCAATGCCATTCTTTGGGTTTATATATCATATTGTATATTGTTTGCTATTATGCGAACAAGCAATCAGGTCTGTAATCCGCTCATGCCAAAAAATTATTTCTTATATAATCCCATTTTTTAATATATATTTGGTTATAGAGAAATTAAGCAGATAAGTAGTGTTGTTAAATGGTTCGATTTCGTCTATTTTAATTTAAAATATTAGCCAAAAAAATATTATGTAGCCTAGAGATTTTGCTAACAGATGTCTACACCCTCTGTCTGTCATCTATGAGCAGGTTTGTGTAAATTTTTTTTGAATCTTGGATTAGCCATTTTTAAAAATTAAGCCGTTTAATAATATAGAGATAAAGATTTTTTTTGAATGAATTAATATAAAATTTAACATTTTAAGCAAGTCAACCTTGGGTCTTAGAATTATTTTTATTCAACATGGTTATTTACCTACAATTTACGTTACACAATTCATGATAGGATAATTTAAATTTCTATAAGTTTTACTTTATTTTATATATTTGATAACTATAGGATCAGAATGAATCTGCAGCCATTCTAAAAATCAAGGAGAGTATGCAAGAAGAAGCCAAATTATTCGAAAAAGGTCCTTTATCCCAACAAGATCACCAACAAAATGATTATTTTATGCAATGATAGTTATAGACCTATCCCATTCGTCACCATTATCAGCCTGACACATTATTTGTGTTGGTGCGATAAACTTAGATTTACAAACTTAATCTTAATAAATCTCATCTTATAATTTTTTATTTATTTTTAAGAATTTTAAAAACTCTGTTTAAAAAAATATGAGGTGGTTTAAATTGTCACAACTTAATATCATGGTGGATAAATGATTTTTATACATTAAAACGAATAATGCACATATTACCGACAAAATTTTCATCACATATCAAAATGTTCCCATGATTAGATTTATTTTAAAAAAGGAAGCTTAAACAAAGTTTTTTTAAATTTAATTTCTTAAAGCGATTTAACTTTTTTAATATCACGTGATAATAAAGGACAATTGGTCAATAAATTTCAGTGGTGAATTTGGTATTTGGTCGGTCTTATTGTCCAGATTACGCCTTCTTCAATTTTTATTAGTTAACTCATGGCACCTGAAATTTTTAAATATATCAAAGATAAGGAGTTAAAGTTGTACAAAACTCGCATATAAAACAAAAATCATGTTTTATAATTTATTTATAATTTTTGTACAATAAGTTAAATTTACTCTTTTTTTTGTAATTGATTTGATTATTTTATTTATCATTGCGACTATTTATCCTGATTACGTATCAGTAGGTTTTTTATCAATATTTTTTTTAATTATTTTGATCTCAAACGAAATAAGTTAACCTTTTTAAAAAAATAAGCTTTAGATATTTATCTTAAAGTTTTAAAAAAGTTAAATTATAATTATTCTTTTAAAAACCGTTTATTGTAAAACACCAATTTAATAAAATAAATAAATACGTGAATGCATCAAAAGACAACCTCTAACCTTAATCAGTTTTACTATAATTATATTGATTAAAATTCATATACCTATTAAACCTTTAAAATATTCACAACCAAATTATGGCTAAATTACGAAAAAATAATTACTCTTTATTGGTGCCTTTTTAAAAATTTTTTTATTTTTATCATTTCAAATTTATTATTCACAATTATAAACTCATATTTTTCGACTTATTTATTGATAACTATAATAACATTGTAAAACTACCCCCTTTCCCCCAAAAAGCAAACTTTTTTTTTTATTTTGTCTTTTTTAAACACACGTACCCGCTCCCGTACGATATAATTATGGTATGCGCGCGTCTAATAGTTAAGTACTATTAATAAAAAATATATATATTATAATTTTTAAAAAATAGAGTATATACTTTTATTGTTTTTATTATCGAATTTTAAACAATATTATTTTTTCTTTTTGTAATTAATATGATTGAATGTAATTGTTTTATTATATATATATATAAATATATTATATATCTAAAAAAATAATAAATATTAATTTTAAAAAATTCTAATATAATTTTTTCATGCATTTTAAAAAGGCGTATTTGTTTATATTAAAAAAAATTATCAAATTACTGAGTACTAAACATAAAATCTTCTTTTTTTTAAAAAAAAGAGGGCTAATTGTTATTTTGATGAATGATTTCATCACGTTTCTACGTCTTCTAATATATGTTTGATTGCTTCATCTTCGGTATGAAAACGTCTATTATATAAATTATGAGTATGTTTTATGTATATCAACAAAAGATTATTTTATTTTACTTGTGGAAACAACAAGATATGCATTTTTTCCACATTGGATCATCAGGATCGTACCCATTCCTTAAGGAGTCATTGGCGTTGTTAAAATAATTGCAATCGCTGTGTTGAGCTATAAAATCCGTCAAAAATCCGTGAGGCAGGTGCCCCTTATCCCAGTATTCCTGATTTATACATAAACATCAATTAAAATAAGATAATAGATTAGGATAAACTCATTTTCATAAATAATTTAAATAAATATGCATCTATTTAAGGCTTATCTGACAATTATGTTAATTATATATAAAAGCTATATCATTTTTTGTTAATAATGCAATAATTAGAAATATCAAACTTTGATGGATTCATATGTATCCAATATGACACTGATGAAAAGGTTGATGACTACATATATGAATAAGGTATTAAAAGCGTAAAAATATATTCGACTGAACCACCAGACCAAGGAGCTTTTAGTGCTGGTTATGATAAAAGTAGCAAACATATCATCTCCATTTATTAAGGAAAACAGACATTCGGACGAAGAACTTATACTTCTGAACTAAATAGATATTATAATTATTAAAAAATATAGTGTTTATTTGTATTGATTTGGTAGATCATTAATCCGAATTATTTCAAAAACAAGTTATAATGATTTCTTGTGACATTTCCATTTTTACTATGATACCTCTTATAAAATGGTTTAATTTGCCTTTATTAAAAAAAATTTAATTTTAAATGTGAGCAAAATAATTTTGGCAAATAAACAATTTTATAAGAATGTTGTTAAACGTTAATAGAAATCTGTCACAAATCATATTAATACAATAAATACGAAATTAGTACCTTGCTGTGATAAGGAGTAAACACAACCCATCCGCATATCAAGAACCCCATATATAGAAATATTGCACATACCAGATACCTAATTACGTTAGGTAACGCAATTTTAATAGTCAATAGCAGAACCTTTATATATTTTTTTCATATTAAAATATTTTTTTCAGCACTTTAATTACATTGTATTGAGCAAAAAATTTGAGATATCGCAATATTCCGATCCAAACTAATAAGCATCCACAACCTAATAATATGCCGCACGTATCGTATAGTAATATGCTTTGATTTGATGTCAACTTTATTTTAGAAATATAAAAAATATATGGGTTAATGGTTAAGGCAGTGGTTCAATCGGGACAGTGTAATTTAAAATACAATGAATATTATTTTTAATGGCGTTAGTGGGGAGGAGAAAGCGCGCTCAACACGCCTAAATATTTTCTGTTTTAGTATGCCTAAATAATAATTGTTAAAGTTACGCCAACGCTACTCTACTGATAATAATTTAAAAAAAATTATATTATACCTTTCTTTCTAGTTCTAACTTTAGTAATGTTCCTAAGATGATGAGAATATCGTTTACTAATATAGTAACATACCACAAATTTAAAAACTCCAAACGATCCGACTTGGTTAGGTTAGTGTTGTAATACACTTTAAAGAATTTCACGCAATCCTATATATGCACAAATTAAATAATGTATGATATTTTAAGTGTAATTATTTAAAATGATTAATGACTATAAAACATATATTCCTTACTTCTTTTAATTTGTGAGCCCTGATCAAAGCTCTGACGCAGAGATATAATGACACTGAACAAATGGTCAAGATTAAAAGGTTCATGATAATTAATTGGGGCTTTGATAGCCAATGTTTTTCTATTATAAAAAGACGAATGTATTACCAAAAAATTTGATTATTTACCAGGGTAATATATTTTCCCATGACAAGGATGCTGAATATTTTGAGTGTCCAAGGATATAATTAAATGACCGCTATGTTCGCTGTTATCATATGATATCTAAAAAAATGATTATGTATGTTAGAGGTCTGCAACGTTATTAGCCTTGTGGGACTAAAAAAATTTAAACTAAAAGAATTAGAGTTTAACCAGGTGGAATATACCATCAAGTTAACAAAATACAATAAACCTTAATAATTTACGAGTTTGTTTACATATTGGCCCTGACATTCTATAAGTGGGCTAAAAATGAATCCTTGAAAAGAATTTGATTTTACAAAAATATCATGATTACAATTATATTACTTTAACTTCAAAAGCATAGCAATCTGGTGATATCGATGGTTGCAATACCTTTAAATGAACAGTGTTGAGTTTGAGTTTCAAATCGACTCTGATGAGACTATATTTGATTTTTTTTTAAAAATGTATTCAATTGTTTTAACTAAATGAATATTTTAAACCTGTCAAAATTGAAAGGAAAATTATTGTATGATAGTGCGGTAGTGTTCCAAGTGTAAAATTTCGTGCAATCTTGATTAATATAGTTGAAAAAGAAACGTAAAATTATAGTATAAAGTGTGTTCAAATTACACTATTTTTAAATAAGTAATTCCCTTAGACTTATAGTTTAAATCAAAATTTAGACATGAACTGAAATGGGTTTTTGATTCTGAATAATTTTAAAGAGGATATGGCTTCGTAGATTTGATACATTGTTCAGAGGGTTCCTCTTACAAACTGAAAAAAATTTTGAAAAAAAATAAACAATAAATAAAACTTCTAAAATGAATTTAAAAAATAAGTTGAAGGGAGTTCTGATTTTCGGATTAAAACATCTTACGCTAATATTTATAAATATAATTTATGATATATGAATAAAAATGTAATATAAACTGTAATTGGTCTGAGAGTCAAAAATATAGGAATGATTGTAGGCCCATATCTGCCCCACTAAATAATAATATTCGCAAAGCTCGACGTAAACTTCACTTTTGTTATTAACTGGAAAATCATACGAACCTATTGCTATTAGTTCTAACCCAAAGTACTGGATTTTCGATTCATTTTTGTAAATATTTATTTAAAAAAAAATCATTTCTTAATACAAATGTTAGAAATTGAAATTAATCATATAATAAATACTTACTAGGCCTTATTCAAAAATGAATACGAATCTATTAATATATTATTCGTATTCGATTCTTGTAACCAAATCGAATAATTTACTATGGTATTCATACATAATAAAATTTGCTATCCTTGTTTGATTTGTGTAATCATGAATAGTAAATTATTTAATTTATTAAATGAATCGAATACGAATAATTTATTATTCAATTCGTTTTTGAATAGGCCTAATACTGATAGACGTCGCTTTTTAAAAATCATTTGGAATATTTAAAAAAAATATATATAACGGCTTAGAAAATAAATATATTAACTAGATATTATTTAAAATTTATATTCTATATCAAGTAAATTTCAAAATGAGATTTATATCATTACGAAAAGAAGATAACGCTTAATGATTTTTTTTAAAAAAACCTTTTGAATGGCATAATTTAAGCTGCCATAAAATTCGTCGATGCCGTAGATAGCGAAAATGCCGTTAGAAGGCGGATACGAGATAACTTCTCGGTTGGATTCCCAATCCTTCAAAAAAAGATGCTTAAACGAAATTTGAGTGTGCTCGAAATATACTACGTGCTTGTATCTATTCGTCGTGAAAAGAGCTATCTATTAAAGATTTTTTTTTTAAAAAAAAAATCCATTTCTAATCTATAATCTGACAATATCATAAATTGTATTAATAATAGAATAAGATAACTTAATTAAGGTTATGCCCAAGTCTTTATAAAAAAATTCTAAAAGTTTTAAACTTTCAGAAGTTTTAAAATTTTCTAGAATTATTAAAAAAAGTTTTTTTTCTTTTTCGATAAAGTTTCAAAAGTTTGCTAATCGAATTTTTTGATATTTTGGACAGAGCCTATAAGGGCATGAAATTAAATTTTGCAACAAAAAATCTTAAATGAATTCAATTAAAAAGAATCATATATTTTAAATAATGTTAATTAATATATTAGTGCATAAACATGAAACGTGACGAATACGATCTTGACAAGTTGAAGAGTAAGTTTCCAAGGGAATTGTTTCCTAATTTTCCATTTTTGTAAAGGGTCCATGAAAAAAAACTTGAGCCGGCGGTGAACCAAATATTTGGTTTGTTGATTTTTTTCTTCAAACATATTTGTCCCATCTTGATTCTCGATGTTTCTAAATGCATTTTCATTTTTGTCGTGAGAAGATTTGTCTAGATAATGAGAGGGTGTGTTTATAATGAATGCTTTAATTTTAATATCCATTTTTTTCTTAACTAGTTTATAGAAACGTCTCTAAAATATAATCACGGTTATATCACTAAATGCATGCTATTTATCTTATAAAATCAATAGTTATATATTATGGTATTATAGCATAAATCTCAAAAGTAAACATTGTAGATATAGCAAAGCATATGCAAATATCTAGAAATTGATTATTACATTTCGTTTTATAATTATTTGTAGAAGAAAAAAAAACAATTTCCATTAACCTGTGTCCTTGCTAGACAAGGGTGGTGGTGAGATATTGGCATCGATATGTTTCATTGGAGATATGTTTTCATCATTTACGTCTATGTATAAGTTAGAGGTATTAGGGTTGTTGAAAAAGTTTATTTTGGGGTCAGAATGAGAGCCTTGTGTTTTGGCTGAGTTGTTTTGATTTGAAACATTATGAGATCGTCTTTTGATACGAACCATAGCTAAATTATAGAAAATTGATTATTATTATAGTGTAATTTATCATTTTTATAGTAAGTAAATTAAAATAAAATTATAATTTTAAAACAAGTAGAATTCTCATCAATATTTATCTATTTTTTAAATTATATGTATGAATAACAGATCTTGTTTAATAAATTTTTTTATTATGAAATCTCTCAATATCTTGTTAGATTATCAGTTGTTAAAGTAATCAGAATGTTTTTCTGGTATCAAATGGTATCGGTGATATTTGTTATCGTAGTTATATAGTAAAATAAAAAAAACTTACAATATAAAAATATTTAACCCAGGGATGTGAACCCGAACCCTTGTATTTTGGCTGAACCCGAACCGGGACCCTTTTTAAAAGTGGAGGGTCCAAAGGTTCTAGGTGTCATAAAAAATTTTTAAAATAAAAATATCTCTTTAAAAAATAATTAAATTTTTTTAAATTTTATTAACTTTTTTTGTGGAATCAATTATTTTATCTTCGTTTTTCTTTCAATTTTCTTCCTGGACTTCCATTTTATTTAGAGATTGATATCATTAGTATAGGTAATAATATTTTATTATGTTATTTTTTAATATGCTATGTTATAGAAATACGTTGATTATTTTTAAAGTGAATTGTAAAATAATATTTTAATTTAAATGATAATGCACAACACGTTCGTCCTCAATTTGTATGATGCTAAAACGATTATTAAGTTTGAAAGATTTCTGTAATGATTTTAATATAGGAGCATGTGAAGTCATTTTGTAGGAAGATGATTGTTGCCAAATAAAGGACTAGTGTATTAGTTCCTTTAAAAATAACAATATTAAAATTACAATCAGAACAATTATGTTTATTTGATTTTTATGGAATATGGATTAGACGCCGATTAGATTTAGAAAAATTTTAAGTCCTTTTTATAAGAAATATTAGAAAACATGAAAATTCGAGAGCAACAATATTTGCAAAATAGTGTTGTATACGCTTCTATATATTTAGACCCTCGATATCAAGTTTTATTGAGTATTGAGCAAAAACAAATGGCTAAAGACCATCTTAAGGATTTACGCCATATTCAAAACTCCATTATTTACAATATATTGAAGGCTACGACAAGACCTACTGGTAGTAGTAACGATAATCTTGAAATTTTACTTTAAGATAGAGAAAAAAAATCAAATTATCATTAGATAGAAAGGAGGATCAAAAAATGCCTATTGCATCTTTAATAGTAAAGTTCTCAGAAGTTAAAAGAATAATAAGGATATAAATATTTTAAAATTCTAAAAAAAAATTCTTTAATATATCCAGAATTATATCTCTTATCTAGAATCTTCATGGCTGTACCGGCATCGCAAGTACAATAATTTTATAAAGATAACTATCTATTTTAGGTAATGGTTTCATGAATTTTCATCTGTAAAATATATATTGTCTAATTTAAGTTGAAATCTCAAGGATGATATTTTAAAAGATATCATGATTGTGCGATTGAATAAAACAATAAAAATATAAATTATTTCATTTTTAAATTTTTCATTTGTAAATTATGAAATTGCATATATTAAGGTAGAATAATAAATGAATGAAAAAAAATCTTATTTTGAGTCATTATTTTTACTTTCCCTGAACCTGAACCCGGGTCTTTTCAAATTTTATTCCTGAACCCTAACCCAGATCCTTTTTTTTGTCGAAGGGTACACATCCCTGATTTAACCCTAAGATTATTATTAAAAAATTGCATAAAAATGAAATTTTACCTGAAAGATTTATAATTAATCGATAAAAGTATAACATAAAAAACTATGTATGACAAAAAAACAAAGATATTTAAGTTTAATTGAAAACCTGAAATTTAAAAAAATATCTTAACGAGTCAATTCTCAGAAAGTTAGAGCAACAATTCCAGAGGTACAGGTGCATAAGCAGGAATTCACTAAGGGAGGGGGGATATAACTTCATAGATAATTTATAAAAAAATATCAATTATATCAAAATATTTTATAAAAATTATCATGAAAGCTTCCTCGATCTATATATAATTTTTAAAAAAATAACGCATTATAAAATCAACAATAAATTAATGGATTTTATCAAAATTCATGTAATTTTTTAAATTACAAAATAGTAAAAACTTTAATAATAATAATAAATTTAGAATCATTCTATGAAATATTTTAAAATATTATAAATTTCAGAAATTTATTAAGACTAGTGACTTTAAAATATTGACAATTTCAAATATAAATTAATAATAAAATATAATGCATAAAACAGGCGTATAAAGCACTGTAAAATAAATGCCTCGAAAAAAAACTTTGTAAAAAAATACAAATTTTATTCGATATATAATTTAAATTTATATTTAAAAATTTGCTGGTAATTAGATTAATGCTTAAAAATATTCTTAAGAATTATTGCATGTATATAAACTTACAAAGTATTCATGAAAAAATATGATGTACTAAAAATGGCACGAAAAAATAGAATTAAGAAGCATATGAATCTATAACGTGGAATTCAATCTTTGGGATTGAGCTAATAAATAATTTCAGCAACAGTGCTAACCCATTTAATCTATTTTAGGTACAAAGTATTTATGGAAAAATATGATGTATGAAAAAATAGAATTATGAAGCATATTATGAAACTATAACGCGAAATTCAATCTTCTTTGGAATTGAGCTAATAAATAATTTCAGCAACTCCCTATGTTTATCAATAAGTGTTAACCCATTCAATCTATTTTCAGAGTAGCACTTCTCAGGTATTTTATTATTCCTAAAGAAAATGTTCTTTCATTGTGGAATTACTAATGGGTAGAATTGCCAAAATATATAATAATTTTATGCTATTAGGAAAATAGTCTTAAATGTGTTTAAAATTATGCAAAGCATTTATAGCCTTTTTTAGAACATTTTCAACCATAGTTAACCTTTTATACCATAGTATGCATTCAGCTAGTAGTACGTTTTAGGTAACTTATTTTTCTTCAAAAAGGTCCATCATAATTTTGTCCATGAATAAAATTTATATTTAGCTATATTTTTCAAATAAAATTATATAACAAGATATTAATTATTTTATTAGTTTAAATTTTTCAAGATTCTCAAACTATACACCAGCTAAAGCCTACCCAGTCATGCTTGAAATAGAAATAATGCAGAAATATAACTTAATTTTATTATTTTTGGTATTTATATATCATTTTAAAAATATGCGTACCATCATGCAAAATGCATATGCTATCTGTCATCACAATTCTTTTCCCCATAATATTTAACGACTCCAAAATAAGTGCTAACTTTACTTGTGGTAGGAGAAAAATGAGCAAGGCTATCACAAATGTGTTAGGACCTGAATCCAAGAGGTCAATTCTAGACGATTTGAAAGAAGGACATCCATATGCTATTTTAACAGATGCATCAAATAAGGGAAATATTAAAACATTTCCCCTGATCCTTCGCTATTTCAACAAGAATAAGGGCATTTCTATAAAACTATTGAAATTTTTTTCATCCGATAGTGAAAAATCCAACGATATAGCTAACCACATAATGGTAAATATAGCTGATTCAGGGTTATCAATGAGTTGCATGTCAGCTTTCTGCGCTGATAATGCCTCTGTTAATTTTGGCAAAAATCAAAGTGTATTTACCAAAATTGAGGCAGCACAATAATGAATTAATACCAATTGGCTGTATATGCCATATACTGCATAATTCTTGCAAGAAGGCAATGAATGTACTATCTGTAGATGTCGAAGTAATTGTGATGAAATGTTTTAACGAATTTAGTTCATCAACTAAAAGAGTCACTGAATTAAAAGAATTGGTGGAGTGGTCTGATTTGGAATGGTGTGAGTTGTTGCGATATGTACCTATCAGGTGGTTATCATTAATACCTGCCATCGAGAGAATTTTAAAATTTTACGAACCCTTAAAGAAATACTTCTTAAATAAAGATTTTAAAAGCTGTCCTAAAATTTTGAAAATTTTTTTCGAGGATGAAATGTCAGAAGCATATTTGGGATTAGTTTCACATGTAGGAAATCTACTTCATGTAGTTAATATTCAGTTGCAATCAGAAGATTCTTTATTGATAAAGATTCACAAAATCATGCTACAGCTCTGTTCATCTCTACAGTTAAAAATAGATAATAAATTTTATGGCGCTATTGCTAAAAATATTATATTAAAATGTTCAAATAATACTCTAATTAATACATTTTTAAATGAAGCAGATATTTTTATTAAGACAATTTTAGAATATTTACAATCAAAATTTGATTTTAATAACTCTATTTACAAATGTTTAAATATTATGACCTTGGAACAGAAACCATCATTTGATGGTTTTTGTAATTTAATAAATATATTAAAATTACCGATAGACATTGAAGCCTTGTTTGAAGAGATTGTAATTTTTTCCATTTTTTATGATTCGCCAGAATACTTAAAGTTAGATGGTCTAAAAGCAGAGGAGAAATGGGTGGAATTTTTTCGTAATAACGATAAATCCCCATGCTTGGAAAAAATTTGCGAGTATGTTTTCTCCTTACCTCATTCTAATGCCTCATCGGAGCGAATTTTTAGCCTGATGAGGACTGCCTGGAGAAAGGAGAGAAATCGAATTGCTTTAACAACATTAGAGGCCGAGTTAATGGTTAAACAAAATTATAAAATGTCATGCCAGGAATTTTATAAATATCTTAATAACGACGGTAAACGTTTAGTTCCATTATTTAAATCTCAAATAAAATATAAATAACTATAACTAATTGACTTTCTATATTTTATAAAATCTTATTTATACATTAGCATAAAATATATTTTTTTACATTGTAAAATTAGAATTTTTTTATAAAATTTTATCTTGTTTACATTCTTTTGTATTTAAAAAAGATCGTTGGTTATTATTTTTAAACAAAATTAATATATTATAATAAATCAATATGTTATTTTAATAATAAAGATAGTATTTAAGAAATTCTGTGTCGTACTATAATTACCTATTTTGAAAAATAGTTGCGTATTTTATTTTGGAAAATAGTTACCTATTTTATTTTGAAAAATAGTTGGCTATTTTATTTTGAAAAATAGTTGGCTATTTTATTTTGAAAAATAGTTGGCTATTTTATTTTGAAAAATAATTACCTATTTTATTTTGGAAAATAATTACCTATTTTATTTTGGAAAATAGATTCGATTTTATATTTATAAAAAATAATAAGCGGATAACTAAGTCAATTCTAAATCTCGGCCACAGGCCGGGCCTTTGCGCGCCGAATTTTCATATTTCTCTCACAATTTTTATATTACTCCCACAAAATACCGAATTTCTCCCACAATTTGAAAATTCTGGCAACCCTGTGTTAGTCAATTTTTAAAAACAACTCAATATTTTAACTAAAAATATTATACAAGCCTGGAGATTTTTCTTATAGATGGCACACGATTCGGGCATCTAGCAAAATCTCGAGGTTTATCAATATCTTTATGGGAAATAAAAATATTATTTAGCATCTTTTAAAAATTGGCTCAAATCGAGCCTTTTAACAACACTAGTCATAGCTTATACTATCTGATGGTCACTCCAGACATAGGGATGACAGTATGGAAATGTTATTATTATTGAGATGCAATAAAAAATAAATAAATTATATGTATATTTGGTCATATTTTTTATTTGTGGAAGAAATAGATACGTAAAAAATATTTTAAAATAAATTCTTAAGTAGCATAAAGAGTAGCTAATAACAAGCTACTTTTTTGAAAACGCTAGTGGCAGTGCTATTTTTTATAAAATAGTGGTAGCAATATAGCACTACCTTTCAAAGTTTTTAACAACACTGGAAATAAGGAAATTGAATTACTTGGACATATTATGCTACAAGTTCAAAAAAATCTAGTATTTCAAACTTCCATTTACAAACCTTTATAAAGAAAAGATTAAATATTACAAATGTAACAAGCATGGAATGTATAATACTGTTAGATGAAATAAGATGACTTGTCAAATATTTATTGTAATCACTAACAACAGAAAAAAATGATCATCTTACTAATATATGCTAAGTTGGAGTCCTAGAATTTGAAATCAAGTTAATAAATATATAAAATTAGTTAAACTAGCATTAAAAATTATATTAACTAAAATTGATTGTATTAAATGGACAAAATATAATTAACTAATATATTTATATAATATAAATAACTCTGCATTACAGATGATAATAAGTTGCTTAAATAAAAATTGCAGGATTTATAATTTTGAAACAAAGTGTAATGATTGAGACTTCTAAGGCTTACCTTAATCTTACTTAAATTACTGATTATTGTTGTGGAGATTCCAAGGATGAAATTTAAAAAAAACAAACAATAGGATGGGTCATTTAAAACCATCTTTGATAACATAGACTGCTTTTCCTAAGTAGCAAGGGTCAACATCTTTGTTAAAAACACTTCCATAATTATGTGAGGAAGTGCCTCCACATAAGTGACATAAATTAAATAGAGAAGGTCATAAGGCCAGTGTTCAAAAGTATTATGAGACAATTTATTTTGTTATTATATTTATCTTAACATTTATAGTAGCATTTCACTCTTTTAAATAAATAACATTGCCAAGATAATAAAAAAAGCATGTTAAATTTATACCAAAGAAAAAGCAGCTTTATCCTCTACCTTCATACCATATGTTTTATTTTCATTCTCTTTCCTATAAATTTCATACCATAAAAAAATAATTGTCTCAACTTGACCCATAATCACAATTTTCTATCACTTGCCTACCAATTCTGCATATCTTGGTATAAGCCTCACTATAGATGCTAATACTATTTTTTAATAAATAATTAAACCAAATCCATTTTGAAAATATGGCAAAAAGTCTTAGGATTATAGTCACAATATAAAATATTAATCCATTCGAAACTATGGAGCATAAGTTATTAAACATTGTTTTTATTATAATAAAAAACATTATGTTCAAATTTATTTTTACTATTTAAAAATATCAGGATCAATTATTTGTTAACAGTTTATAATAAGGTCACCAAATTATCAGTTTGATTCTAACCAAAATTTTATTAAAAAATAATACAAATAATATATAGTATTTAGTTTAAGTGTAAAATACATAAAATATGAACATATAACTTTGTTAATTGAAAAAACATACTTTTTTAAGGTTATACTATACTCTTCATTCAAAATATTGTAAGGGTAACGATAATGCACGTCGTCGGCAACATATAGTAATTATATAACAACTCTTAAATATTTCTTAAATCTTTAAAATGAGAGAACAACAATTATACTATATATCCATTTTTATAATATTAACTAACATTGATATATCATATTTATGTTGTGGTAGAGTCAATAGGTAATTTATTTTTGTAACAAAAGAATCTCCAAATCTAAGCATCTGTTTGATTTCACAAGTACGTGAGCAAAAAACTGGCATAATATTTTTTCATCAAACTTAGGGCTGAATCATAGTTGTAATCTTTGAAGCATCATACCCATTTTTAAGAGCACAAATTCATTTGTATATATTATGCAAACATTTTGTCTTTTCTAAAAATAAAATAACGTATCGCAGGTCTTAAGCATATTACATTTCTAACAATTTTAATCCCAGTCAAAATTTAGCCCTAATTAAAAAAACATTTATTAATAACAGCTGAGTTCATGAACTATTATGACACTACATTTCGCTTAACAAAAATGTGAAATACATGGCTAAATATTGATGAAAAATATCGTTATATTAGGGGGAGGAATATCAGGATTGAGTTCAGCTTATTACCTTTTAAAATCTACTAATGCAAAGGTAATTATTTTATTAAGGTTATATGTTATTTTCATTTTAAGGTCACAATTATTGAAAAGTCAAAATCAATTGGAGGATGGATAAAATCTCATCAATATGATAATAATATTGTTCTTGAAAGAGGTCCTCGAACTATTCGTGCTTATGGCTTTGCGGCTAAATCAACTCTAAATTTAGTAATATTATATTTTGAAAAGGTTGATTATTTTCTCAAATTCAGATGCATAATATTGGGCTAGATGACAAAATTATAGGAATTAAGAGTAATGATCCCAGAGCAACTAATCGTTATATATATTATAATAATCATTTGCACAAACTGCCATCTAATATCTTGAGTCTTTTTAAAAGGAATAGTCTTTTAAAAAATCCACTCTTGTATTATATTATGAAAGAGTTATTTACATATGAGAAATCAATGTATAATGACAAATCTGTATATGATTTTTTTACTCAAACATTTGGAAAAGAGGTTCTTGCATAAAATGAATGATTTATATTATAGTTATTTAGATTGCTGATTTTATTATTGACCCTTTATGTAAAGGCATATATGCAGGAAATAGTAAAAAATTAAGCTCAAAATCGTGTTTTAAAGATCTATTTGATTATAAAAACTTATATGGGTCTGTAATTTTAGGAACTTTGGTTTCACCTAAAAAAATTATTTATGAAAAGTATGAATGTTTTATTAATAAATTTGAAAAATTTTTTACAGGAATGATTGTCATTTAATTAAAAAAATAAAAGATGAGAAATGGACTCTTTGGTACTTACAGGATGGCCTTGAAACTTTAATTCAAAATTTATATAATTTCTTAATTAAACATTACCCTGATAGATTTAATCTTATAATTAATTGCCCAGTCAAATCCATTAATATAAATCAAAATTTAAAAGTTGCAACAGTTATATATAGAGTCTGGATTCATAATATCTAATATTTTTAGATTGAACTTCAAAATCAAAATATTGTTTATGATTATATAATATCAGCTATGCCATCAAATGGTAAACAAACACAATTTTATTATAAATTTAAATTTGTTTTCTTAGCCCTTTCAGATATTTTAGATTATTCATGTATAACAAATACAAAAAATTCAACTATATTACTACCATTAAATAATGAACTTAATAAAATTTCTTTTGTGGATGTTGTAGTGGTTAATTTAATATATAAAATTGAAAATATAACAGAAATAAACTTACTCCCTAAAGGATTTGGTTATCTTTTACCATCAAAAGAAAATACACCATTATTAGGTACCATATTTGATTGGTGCTTAAGGTGGAAGCAACATAATATCAATGAAGAATTTCCAAGAAAAATTAATTTTACAGTTATAATATAAAAATTATGAATTTTATATTTTCTAAATAAAGTGCATGATTGGTGGAGCTTGGATGGAAAATTTCTTTCACAATGTTGATGCTAATGACCCAAAATTATATATCGACTTTGCCATCAAATCAATTAAATCACATATAGGAATTAAATCTGATCCAATATTTTATGATGTTAATATGCTTAAAGTACTTAATATCATGAAATTACACTTGATGTTTATAATAAATTTTCCTCTTCTTACTGCCCCTCACCCCCTTCCTCAATATTTATTAAAATTAATATATAACATTTTTTGAAGGTTGAATTGAAGAAATTTTTAAATTTCGATGTATTCAAAAATTTTGGAGTGCTGCTCATTAGTTTTTACCCTCTCTAACAACGATAATGCTTTAAAGGCCATTTCCAGAAAGAACTTTTTTAAAGCAGTTTTTAAGGCATATTTCCAGCAATTTTTTTTAAATTGCCAAAGGATTAATTTGTAGTATTAATTTTTTTGTATATTATAATATTTTTAAAAGATCATGATGACCAGGAGTCTCTCAGATGTCATTTAATCGTTTATAGAAACAAAAATTGTTTGTTTATTAAAGATTGAATGGTGCCTGAGATACTCAGAACTAGCAAAATCGCTCCATAGCCGATTTTTAAAACGTTGAACTCAGTATTTTATCCGAAAAATATCTTCCTCATAAATGACACAAAGGTTTGGACATCTATTAGTGAAATCTCGTGGCATATACAATATTTATCTGTTAAAAAATCTATTTTAATTAGGAGTTCGCTATTTTTAAAAATCAGCTCAAATAAAGCGATTTTGCATCACTAACCTGAACTATCATGCTCTTAAAGATTAATTCGACAAATTTATCCTTTGTTTGACAATTATAAAATTGCTGGAAACATGCCTCACAACTTTGAAAAACATTTTATCTAGAAATGGCCTAATATATTTTATTTTAAAAGTTGTTTATGTTTATATCTTCTTATAGAAATGCATTCCTCAATATCACGTGGGACATTCAGATATCTTAAACAATATTCGCGAAATAATTGAAAATAACAATCTTCCAATCAGATTAGTAGGAGCGTCTTACGATGGAATATCCGTAAACGATTGCATACATTCAGCAAAAATAATGTGCGATAAAATATCTACAAGTTTTTAATGATAGGTTTCGAAATAAAATTATTTATACAAAACTACACTACTATTGAATCAAATTTATTTTCTATCTAAAAACATCTGTGATAAATTATATATTATTCTTATATATTGTACATACATAATTATATCAAATAGATATATGAAATAATTTATACAAATAAGTAAAATATTTTATCATAACTATGATATAATAGCGGGCACAAATTCGGTGTTCATTTATCAATTTATGCACATTGTCTTCGATCGTGTCATCTTTTAGAGGCGATAATACTTTACAAAAAAAATGCAATTATAGTTTAGTAAAAATTAACGTATTGTTATCAGGGTATTGGGCCACTGTATTTTTCTTCGTTCCAGTCAGTTATAATTAAAGCTTAGATTTTTATTGAACCAAATTATATATTTCATAACAACCTCCTCGAATAAAAAATAATTCCTCATTATCCGATTCTAAATCTATTTTTAAATATACCAATTTTTTTCTTCAAATAATCAGAAGAACGTTCCGGAACAAACTTTTCTATCATGTTCTCGTTCCGATTATTTGTTTTTTCGAACTTAATATTACGTTTTATTTAAATATCTATTAAAAAAATATTTTATAAGTTCTAATTTAAATGTCATATTTGACAATTTATTTACTAAGGGTTTAACTTTTTATATTTATAAATAAAGAAGCATAACATATATAGCGAAAGGGTGTTTTCCATAATTCTTATATTTTTTATTAAAAAGTAGTAAATGATATTTTTCTTAAATATTAATTTCTACCGTAGAGAGTATGTATGTAAAGAATAAAACTCCTTTTAAACATTTTGGAAAATTTGCTTCATATATTATTTTTTGTAGCACTTTCTTTTATAGACCATATAACCCCGGTGTCCTCTCCTTTTTTTTCTTTGGTATTAAATGAAAAATAAACTTCATTTTAAAATAAAAAAGATAACTTTTAAAGTATTTAGATATTAAATTATTTCATATTAGCTAATAAAATAAACGTAAAATGTCGAATTGATATATCGTTTAATGTCCTGTCTTAAATTTTTATTTTTAAAATTTCATCTTTAATCATTTTTAAGTTTGAATGAAAAATTAAAATTGGTAAACTTATGCTTATCATCGATGATAAGTTTGCTATAGAATCATTAAGTGAATATTATAAAAAATCAATTTTTTTAGCTTTGAAAACAACTATAATTCAATTTAAATTTTATGGTCATCATAGCAAAATATTAAATTTTAATATTTTGTTACAACTCTCTATCAACAGTTGATTTGTATTTTTAAAAAATAGTTTTTTTTTAGCCTGATATTATGATCTAATAGCTATCCCTCTCTCAGAGCCTCATAACTCTCACCTTTAAACGATTTAATATTCATTAAATATAAGAATTAACATTAAAACTGAAGTTTAAATTTTTTTTAAATTTAAAATCCGGATCGGGCCAAAAATTTATATAAACTGGGTATGGATGTGTTGCATCTCCGCATTACATCATTTAGTTTCTTATTTAAGTCACCTATATAACTTCTTTTTATTTATTTTAGAAATATGCCCTATCTCATTCAACTCCGAATTAAAATAATATCCTTGGTCAGATATACTAAAATAAAAATAATAAATGTATTTACCATTTTATTCATTTATAAAGGAAAACTAGAAAATCATTAGAACGCTCGAGGGAAATAAGAAATTCCAGTTCTTTCTTTCTGAAAAAAACAAGATAGTAAACTATAGCGTTAATGTGTTTTTTCAGGCAATGTGTTATTTTTTCAACTTTAATTTATTTTTTGATTGCATTTTCTTAAATTCAGAAAAAAATGATTTTACCGGAAATGTATTCCACCATGTTTGGAATATCTACCCTATGATTTTCAGACAATTTTGCAATGAACTTTTGAACCAAATATAATTTATATTAGTTTTTCCACAGATTTTCTACAATTGATAAGATAGGTATTATAAACAAGCTGGTTTATTTCCGGTAAATCAGATTAAATGATTTAAAGTTGAAAATATAACACATTGCTAGAATATTGCCTCTAACATATACATTTATATCTCGGATAATTAAAAACCAAAATATTATAAATTTTATATTTAAAAAATTGGATAATTATGGATATGAAAATTATAGTACCAAATAAGGAAAATGAAAAGATTTTAATTTTTGGGTACCCACTGATTCTTTAAAAAATAACATGCCCGCAAGTTCATTATTTAAAAAATAATCCACTCGCCCGTCCACTTTCTACAATTATTTGCCCCCCTCCCCCATTGCAAATCTCTAAGTTAAGGTTCTGGTTCCACAATCAATAAAATCATTTCTAAGCATTGGGCGAGTAGTACCACACAAATGAGTGGGCAGGTAATTAATTTTTAAAACCATGGGCTATTGGGATGACAAATTAAATAATTTTAAACAATGGGTGGCCTAACAACGAATCCGTTGCAGATCTTTAGATTAAACTCTGAATAAACTATTATAAACAAAAGAAACAGGTTTGCTTGAAATATGAAACAAGCGGGTACAGAATTTTGATCTCATATATAGAATGATAGATTTTTTTAATTTAGATAAAAAATAATCTTAATATTTATCTATTCTTTCCTATATGTCCAAGGTATCTTAATAAAATTAATTTTAGTTTACTAAATTTCCGAATCATATAATGAAACAATAAGGGGAATATAAATGGGATTCGAATTAGTGTTGTTAAACTGCTCTATTTAAACGATTATTAAATTAAGATTTTAGCCAAAATAATATTATATTTAATATAATTTTTAGATATTTTGCAAACAGGGGCCAAATTTTGGAAAGTTCCTTAATTATTGAGTATTTTAATCCATTTTGGAAAATCGATTATTACATTTTTTGACAAAATTCTGGCAACAAAACATTGCAAACCCCAACAATAATATCGGTGTAATTTGGGATAATAGTTCGGTTCGTAAAAAAGAATATCTGTTCGGTTTAAAATACCGGCTCAAACCTTTTTATATATAAATTATTAAGTGTAAAGAAAAGACCATATTTTAAAATTTTTCTACTATTCTCAAAAATGTTATTGATCCATATTCAATTAAAATATTTTTAAGATTCTATTCTTTCAAATTATGTTAAGGAAGAATAAATTTTAGGGCTAAGAACATTTATATATGATAACTTGGGTAGCTGGCAACGTCAAATAGCACTATAGAAAAATATCTATAAAAATAATTACTGATATCAGTCAAAACTGCATATTAATCATCAGTTCAAATAAATTCGCATGCATTTTTAGAGTTTAAGTTTGGTGACAAATTTTTAAAGGTTTGGTAAAGCTCTTGCGATGATAAAAGGAAAGAAAAAGAGTTTACTGCAAAATAATCAAACTATTTTGTTTTAAAAGATAGTATATTATCAGAAAGCTTTTTGCAAACTATTAAAAATGGATAGTATGAAAGAAACAAAATGAATTAGATAACAACCTGTTTTGTCATATAAATTACTTAACAGTTCCCTTTAAACATTCGTTTTTACTGTATACGTCAAAAGCCAAATAATATTACAAATTCGGTCCAAAATTTTATTAACAATATACCTTAGAAAGAATTCATGTTAATATAGAATTTATATATTGAGTAATTTTTTTTTAATTTTTTTAGCTCTGACAAGTGACAAAATTTATATTATATAGAAATATTTACGGTAATAAAAGCCTCTCAGCCTGATCATTCGCTTATATCCACAAAGTTACTAATTTGAGTGATGCATATTGCACACGCACCATTTGTCAACATTAATTCCTAACTTCGGCGAGAATATTTGTAGCTTTTTGTTAAGCTAGGGTTAATTTAATATATTAGACTCTTACACCAATAATGTCATTTACGGTTTTCCCCAAGGTCGGGGCCGGGTAACTTTTACAAAAATTTTCATGGCCTAGAACACATAGCGTCAATCCGGGTCGAAAAATCGGTATAGAAATGGTAGGTCTACTATATAATATATGATGCCTATTATTTATAAGGAACATTGTATATAATTCAACATGCCGCTGAAAATTACGGTTATGTACCAATTGTATATTAGGCCTATTTCAAAGACAAATGAGAGGCTAAATAATAAATTATTGGTATTCGATCATCAATTATGAATATTATATTTTACTTTTCGCAAGAAAATGGATAGTAAATTATTCGATTGGCATAGATGAATCGATTACGAATACTTCATCATTCGATTCTTACTCGTTTTTTGAATAGGCCGTATATAAAAGATAAAAAAAATATGAACTAGAAATAAAATTCCATTACTAACGTGTTGCCCCAAAATCTAGAATGAATATTAAACGTTTTGGCCAAAATCACGAAAATGTAAAAAAAATAATATTGCCTCTTAAAACTACCAGTTTCTGAGCAAAAATCGAAATTAGATAATTGGAGTGTTGTTAAAAGCTACTTTTAATAGTAGCGCGCTACTGCTACCGCTAACGTTTTCAAAAAAGTAGCGCGCTATTAACTACTTTTTTTAAAAAAAGCTAAAGCTAATTTTTGCGCTACTTTAGAGTTTTTTTAAAAATATTTTTACGTAAAAAATACGACCAAAATTTCAAATATATATTTTTTTCCTCTCGCTATTTTTTCAAGCTACCGCTACGGAGAAAGGTAGCGCGGGACTTTAACAACACTGGATAATTGAGCAACTAATTAATAAATATATATTTATATATTAAGAATCCTCATTAAATTGCAATTTATTGATATATATAATATAATATTTACTTTATATATATTTTTTATTTAATTAATTTTAAAATATTTTTTTTAAGTAAATATTATATCGATGTATATCTATTTTTTCATTATCGTGCGTGATTTTGGCCAAATATTTTATGAAGAAAATTATTTTTTTTAATTTTCGAAATTTTTTATAATTTTGTGATTTTGGCAAAATATTTTTTATATTATTTTTAGGATAGAAAGCGTTTTCTCTATTTCTAGATTATGGGAACTAATATTGATTTTATTAATCGTTTTTTGCCTAAATAACCAAACAAAAAAAATTAGAAGTCTAAAAGCTAAGTTCTTATATTTTATTTTAGAATATTGGGATAAATAGCTCTCCAAAAATAATGTTATTTTTAAACATTGCAAAAAAATCAGAAAAGACTATACCCCTTTTTAAGTAGGTTTCATTATATTTTGTGAAAATCTATGACAACAAAACCAAACAAAAAGGGTGTCCTAGCTGCTCACCTGAATATCAAAAGAGGAGCGAGAACGCAAACGTAAAAGGGGAGTTATTCGACATAAATATAATTCCAAAAAAATATAATTGTTGTGAAAAATATTGAAATTCATTATTTTTTAAAAAATGATTAGCTCAAAGAATAATCATTAGAGATCCACACAACTGTTTCGATATCGCTTCAAAAATATCTTTTCTTTTTCAAATATTACAAATTTTAAATTATTCTTCCATATTATAATAACTTTTTTACTTTTTTTAAATTTTTTTTTAAAGAAAACCCTATTTGCAGATTTTCAGTCGATCATATTTATATATTAATATGATGGGAAGGGAATAGAGCCAAGAATTATATCGATATAATAAATATATTAAAGAAAATGATGTTAATGTTGCTTACTACCAAAGGGAATACCGAGCAAATCGTAATTTTACAATTTTTATTTGATACATACTGCCAAATACCAAAATTTATTAAAATGTAATAAGACTCTTATTATTTAGGTTAATGATGCTTACCAACAAGTCAACGTATATCAAATTTCTAAATAATAACCAAATTTTCTAACCGACCAAAATTTATTAAAATATAATAAGACTTATTATTTAATATATAATAATGGAATCACGTGGTCGAGTACGGCCTCCTATATATCATCCCCCAAGAACGGAACCGCCAAGTTAGATTAAGAAAAAAAAACATGATCATTGCCAGGATTCAAACCCATGACTATCGGATTGATAAGACGCTCTTGCCGACTAGGCCACATTATCTTTCCAAAAATCATGATTTTTCAAATATATATTATAAATAAATTTGATAGTGCCTATCCAAATGAAAAATAAACAAAATACAAATATGATAAGTAATACCTCAAGGTAGTAAGCATCATTAACCGAAATGAGGTGTTCCTTAAAAAGAATAATTTTTAGTTTAAAAAAATATGAACATAACCAGTATGCTATAATATATTTTTTTTAAATTCCAAGTTTCATTAATAATATGGCGTGATAAATATTACTTCTACCTCTATGATATATCTAATTAGATGGCGAAATTTAACTATTCCGCTGGTAGCTGATATTCTTTTAAAAATATGAATGATCGGGCTAATCTAATCCAAAATTTAAAAATTTGATACCTGTATACAGGTTATAGAACGGCGTGAACCTTGCTGGGTAAAAATGATTATTGGGCCGGGTCAGAATTGTGCCCTTTTTATTACGGGTCATGCCATGCAAGCAAAGAATGTTATACCAAGGTAATAAAACTTTAAAAAAAATATATCCCCACAACACCTTACATTTTTTTAAAATAGATTAAATATTAACCCCCCCCCCCCCCGCTAAAACTTTGGAAATCTTCGGGAAGTAGATCTATCTAAAATATCTAGTGGAAATAAATAACAGACACCGGAAAACCCTAATGAGAGGTAATATTGGGAAGATGGAAGAGGATCTCAGGAGGTTTTCTAGTCAAGATACATTGACAGTATTTATTATTTTTTGCCCATTTTATATTTTGGTCGTCAATGGCATTAGTCTCGAGGTTCTTTAAAAAGGCTCTAGGTTATATCATCGACCTTGCGTAGCTATTGATATTAACCTGGAGTGATCATTTAATTTAGCTCTTTCGGAAATATTTGTATGTCTTGTTTTATAAATGATTATGATATAGATATTAATTTTTTCTTCTGAGTCCTTAATTCTTGAATGAGGGCAGAGCACTTCTCTTGGAATATCAACATAACTATTTAAATAAACAAACATATTGATTAATCTATTCTATATAATTTAACCCTGTGCCCTTGACTTCAATCTGACAACTCAGATATCGATCGAACAGACATTCTTTCGAACACACTCGGGCCAGTTCATGATCTTCAAAGTTGTGAATAATTTTAATTTATTATTTTTATTTCTTCATTAATAACTAAAACCAAAATATAACTGAGTAGTTTTATCAGAGACCACCTGACCCAAAATCCTACCCGTAAACTCGAATCGGGCCAAAAAATTATGAATTTTAAAAACCTTAATAATTTAAATAAATTAATCAGGACCTAGCCTGGTTTAAAAATTTAAAACAAGGGTCGGGTCGATTAAAAATATAATTAATTTAAAATTATCCAGTTTTAAAATGTTGGAAAATATAAGTGTTTAATATTTATTTTCTGGTCATATTTGCAATTTCCCTTTAAAACCAATTTGCAAAACTACAGCTAAAATTATTCATAATTTTAAAAGTTTAGGCCCGGGCTTAAAAAATCCATAAATAAGATCTCGATTGCAGATCTATGGTTTTTTAAAAGTATATTCTAAAACTTTTAGAGTTTCATTAGCGCAGATCCAATGCTCTTATCTTCCAAAAATCGAAGACATCTTTTATCTCTAAATTATAAGGCGAAAATAGTTAATAAGACATTTTTTTAGACTAGTTAAATAGTTTTGTTCCATATTTGTGTGGAATTGAAGAAATTTTAGTATATTAAAATAATCAAATTCTGGGGTAACCTCTCACATTCAGTTAATTCGTACGTGTAAGGCAAAATAGAGGTAGCCATCATCTTTATATTTGCAAGCATATGTTACAAAGGACTTTATCTGCCAACATTGGTTCTCTTAATATTTGTGTCAGTTTTTAATATTAAGGATCCAAAATGTTTCCATGCAAAAGAAGGTTTTGCTTGCAAGGATATAATATATTTTGTTCCAGTATTTTGTAATGCTGCATACATTATAAATGTTTTTAGTCCTGCTATGTCTATATATGTTATAATGGCAATAAAATAAATATCTTAATTAAAATTTTTATGATAAAAAATAAAATTTATATTTTATATGTTGAGGAGATGTGGATTGCATTAAGATAATATTGTGTTACTCCATATATAATTGATGATCTTATACAAAAGTTTAAAAGATCAAATCAATGAAACTCCAAATTATAACCTATAACTATTATACAGAGAATACAGATTTAAAAAAACTTTTTTAAAATTTATCTAAAATAAAACTTTTTAGGATAACGAAGGAAAAGGAGTAATTAAAATAATAAAATATATGTAAACATGCCTCAAAAACTGCTTTGAAAAAACGCTCTGTCTAGAAATGGCTTAAGATATTTTATTTCAAAAGTTGTTTATATCTTCTTATAGAAATGCATTCCTTAATATCACGTGAACCATTCAGATATCTTAAACAATATTCGCGAAATAATTGAAAATAACAATCTTACAATAGGATTAGTAGGAGCGTTTTAAGACCGAGTATCCGGAAATGTTTGTTTACATTTAGCAAAAATAATACAAAATATCTACTAGTTGTTAATATAGGTTTCGAAATAAAATTATTTATACAAGACTACACTACTATTGAATCTAATTTATTTTCCATCTAAAAACATTCTGATAAATTATATATTTTACATACTAAATAAAACTAATCTGATTTATAAAAATTATATCAAATAAATTAATAAAATAGTTTATACAAAGGAGTAAAATATTATCATAACCATGGATATAATAACGGATTTATACGGCACAAATTTTCGGTTTTCATTGATTCATTTATCAATTCATGCACATTGTCTTCGATCATGTCATCTTTTAGAGGGGATAATTCTTCACAAAAATAAATTCGTAATTATTTAATATAGTAAAAAAATTAAGGTAATGTTAATAGGGTCTTGTCTTAGGCTTTTTTTTGGTTTCAGTTCTGTTTTTAATTAAAGTTTAAATTTTTATTGAACCAAATTATATATTTCATAATGGCTTCATCGAATAAAAAAAATTGCTCATTATCTTATTAAATAGACCAATTTTTTTCTTCAAATAGTCAGAAGAACGTTCCAGAACAACTTTTCTATCACGTTCTCGTTCCGATTATTTATTTTTTTTAGAACTTAATATTACATTTTACTTAAATATCTATTAAACAAAATATTATAAAAGTTCTCATCTAAATTCTAACCCAATATATTTGAATTGACAGCAGCTAAGATAAGGTTCATGGTTTCTGTAAAAGCCATCAAATTAATGTCAGCGTTATTTTTAGCAGAGTTGTTATTTATATCAGTTTCTCCTGGCAAATTTTCATTCACTGTGGTTGTATCATATTCATCCTCTTCTTGCAGGGGCGAGTTATCGTCAAAATTCATGTTGAGAGCGGGTACGTCATTCAGAAAAGCCCTTAGGAAATGATCTAGCTTGAGTTTTTTATCGGCCAAGCACCTATAAAAGGCCTTGAAAGAACACATAAAGGGACCATTTATGAGCAGTTTGGAGAAGAGGTTAGTAAAGTTGGATGTTAATCTCATTAATTTTACTGGGTTAACGAGTTTCTCATTGTTCTCTTTTCCACCTTTTAAAAGATGTTCCATTTTATTTTAATTTAAAAATAAGTAAAAATGAAATATAACAGACTGACGACTAATTATAACATGCTATTTTGGTTGCTTTTAAATACTAAAAAGCAGAGATGCGTCCATTATTAAGGTTCCTAAGACTGGGATACGAATCAATTGTGTCATTGAAATCTCAGGAGGGGGATACCATATTAGTCAACACACATAGTCAGTAGTATTTTATATATTAGAAATCAAGGGGACCTCAATATCATTGACCTAGGAGCTAGAGGGCTCCATACATTCGATGTAGCTTAGCAAACTTTCCAGAATTATAATTAGATATATGTCCCTCAAATTTTAAAGAAATTTTTTTTAAACTATAACTATCTAGATATATTCATAAAAAAATATTGTTTTTACATCGTTTTTTTTTCAAAAAAGCAGGTAACGTGTTATTGTTGAAAACAAGTAAAGAATTAGGGTGAGGGTAAAATTTGAAACAAGTCAAGATCCCCAAAAAATAAAAATTGCTCCTTAATGTAACCCCTCTTCCTCCTGTAAAAAGAAGTCAAATCGCTTCTACCATCAATGTAGACATCGAGGTAAGTAATTTATGCACTATATATAGATTAACCCATATACAACATTTATAGTTACAACTTTCAATATAAAGAAATTATGCAATATCTGTCATCCTTATACCTAACCAAAACATTAATAAGCAAGGAAATGGATATGTCTTATATATGATAAACTTTTAAAACTCAAATAAAAAATTTGGACCCCCAAATTTAAGAGAAACAAATCACAATTTAGCATATAAGCATTATAAATACAAGTACCTACCTTTAATTAGATTAAGTTCTCGCTCTAAAAGACTAGCCACGTCGATCTGAGCCGAAAACGGACTTCCGCAAGTCCTCAATTCTCTCCCGCAAACTGTTATCTGTTCTGGACCGTAGGGGAAAGTGGAAAAGGCTCGAGCGAAAGCGCATTGCAGAGCGTACTCTCCGGCAAGAGCGGCTCTGAAACACCAAGCATCTGTTGAGTTATTAAGAGCGGAACGAACCCAGCTTGAGAGTAAGTTTGAAGGGAAGGCAAGTGAGGTGAATGCGGATAAAAGAAGGTTAGAAGAAGGTGGGGGGTGAAGGGAGTTTAAAAGAGAATAAAAAGTTGATAAAGCATCTTGGGAATGGTGCGATAGAGGGGATTGCCGGCGATGCTATTTAATATTTTTAAAAAAATGGGTATGAGTAAAAAAATAATAATAACAAATAATATTAATTCGCTTATTTCACGATAAATGTGAAGGATCTTATAGTGGTCAGATCAGATAAGAAGATGCCAAAATATTAAATTTACGTTTTCGTATATATCCATTAACGATACCATGGATTCATCTGTTTCAACCAAAGTCATATGGGGAGATATCGTAACCATGCGAGATAAACGAAATGATAAATCTCTTTTCGATGTTCCCTGAGAAGATAAAAAAATATTTAAAATGTTTTTTTTATTAATGCGCGAATATTTACTAACACACGCATCTGCTTATCTTGTTTACAGATTCTGCGAAAATATGGGAATTTTTATCTGCTTGCAAAAGTATAGATTTATGAATTAATTTAAAATGATTAAAATTTACAATATGATCATTAATTTTTTTTAATAATAAAAATGTTCACATAATGTTTTTCGAACACGCCATTTAGATGACTCATTATTTGAGCGGTAGCAGTTCTAAGGTGGGAGGAGTTACGTTTTTCCCATGGTTTAAGGGAGTAAGAATGGATAGGGGATAAGAACAAATTATCGTTAAGCACCAAATAATGATAAGTTTTTCCATTGCTGCCACGGACGCTGACCTTTCTACAGGATTGAAACCCGCACTTGTTTTCGACTCGGATGTTTGGTAAAAATTTACAAATTTTTATGCTGTATTGAGACGGCTTTATTTTATTATTTGAAGGAGTTGTATTATTTTTTTTGTTTAAACACTCATGAATCATAATTTTGAAATAAATAAAAAAAATCTATTGATGTTTTTAAACAAGTAATAAAGACAAGCAAAAAAATTAGACAATATTGATTCTAAATAGAGTTTTATTAAATTTTCAATTAGTATTTCAAGATTTTTTTGCCGAAAATTTTAAGCAAAAATCTTTGAAGATTAAAAAAAAATCATAAAATATAAAAAGATTTTTTTATAAATTTCGATCAAAGTTTGCAGCATTTAAAAAGATTTTTTTAAAATATCTTTATTTTATTTTGAGAAGTTGTGAGCCCATTATATATATTTAATTAACCTAAAAGTTTTATAGGAACTAATCGTTTGTTATTGAGGATAAAAATATATTTAACGCACTTTCGCGTATTTCATTTCGCCGGGTAGCTCGATTTCAACGTCATTGAGAAGCCAATTATTGAGTAGAGAGCATTTATCATCCATAAAATAAGTGTTGGGCAGTTCATTAACAACCTTATGCTCTAGAACTTCTATCCAAGCCCTAAGGTTCACTATAAGTCTATCGATGTCTTCAAGATTCAACTTTTGTCTTACAAAATTAAAATCCTTCATAAATTGAGCCTTAAACTTCTTGAACATTGGATCCTGAGTAAAAATAAAAAGTAATGCATTCATTAATTTGATCATTATAAAATCTTATTAAATTATATAGAAATCAATTAATTTCTTAGGTATACCGTAATACATATCGTCAGCTGAGTATGATAGTGTTCTATATCCACTTCTTTTGATAAATGAATCCTTCAGTACTGTGTTCTTCCATATAATCATTATATCTAAAATCGAACCTTCAAGATAACTCGCAGTTTTTCGCCCATTGAACCAAGGTTCAGATTCTTAAAACCATGCCCTCCAACCATCTTTGCGCTTCCAGCAGATAAGCGATTTGCTATTAGATTACGACTCACCTACGAAATTGTTTCTACCTTAGCAATGTAAACATTGTGAAACCAGCGTACACCAAATGTGACATCATTTGCGTGCACTTAAATACGCAGGCATTCCCTCTAGACTTTAAGCAACCTGGTGGAATGTCCTAAATTGTTTGGTCAACGGGTCTGCTTCTGGTTTGGGACTTCACCTGCATTGACCCAAATGCATCATCCAACCAAACAATCGATGTCATTGCCATTAAAGGAACCCGGAAAATACCAAATACAGTTCCATCAATCCTTCTTACTCATTCATGCTCCATTCTTACCACTGTCGGGAGCAATGCTCAATGACTTTAAAGAAGTGGGGGGACGGATTCCCGAAAAAACTGCTCAGTCTAAGGATTTTTATTATGATTGCTATCGCAATTATTCATTCCAATTTCTAATTTTTCTTTACTCTCTTCTTTTTTAAACATATTTTTTAAATCTTTATCTTTTTGTTCTCCTTAATGATAATTTTATATTTATCGCCTTAATAGTTATACATTTTTCTTTTTTTACAATATATTTTAATAGTCAATTTACTCAAATAAATGAGCAATCAAACGGATAAAAAAATATATTATTTAGAATAATCCTTTATTTGCATTATTATAGTATGATTATCTAAAATATAAGAATTTTTTTTTTCAAAGGCTCTCCTGAAAAATTATACAAAATAGATAAAGAACATTACAATACTCAGCATATCTATTTCTCATTAGAAGTTGTAAAACAACAATACCAGGGATTAATCTTTTCCTTTACTTTTGCAATATTTTATACATTCAAGAAGGGCAGTCTTTAGTTCATTTTTTATATGAAAGAGAGGTCCAAAAAATCGAATACAGAATTTCACTTCGCATTTTCACATATCCAAATTTTTTTTAAATTTAATTATCATATTTGCTTATATCTTAGTTTCATTTATTCTAATATTTCAAAACTCGGGGCAGTTTGATTATTTTTTAAAACCAGGGCAGTTTTGAACCAGATCCTTCGGAATCGGAACAAAACTGGAAATAGAACAACTTTTTATAAAATAATTAGAAACCCAAACCACTTTTAGTTCGGGTTCCACACTTTGATGTAAATTATGCATCATTTTTTTAGTGTTATAATCGTTCTATCTAGAACTATGAAGCAAATTAAATTAATTCCGAATCAAGTGGTTTAATATTTGAGTAATATTTAAAATTAGTTATGTGACATAGCGGTCATATATTATAGTTCAAATTATTCCGGAATGATTTCTTGACAAGGTCGACTTAAAAATCCTGTTGGCCTTTATTTAATTCAAATTACATTTTGTGAGATTATAATTATCATTTTACCCCGAAGGATATTACCAATTTACTCCAAATTATTTATTGATTAATTTCACAGAGATTACTACCATGGGGGAATGGGGAGTATGACGCAAGATAAGATCTTCATTGAAATTGAAGGGGGTAAGAATTTACGAAGACGCTAAAATTAGAGGGGGGGGGGTTGCGGGTAAATTGGATCTTTTTTAAAACTAATTTTGATGGTGGGTAAATAGTCATTGCTCAGGAGGTCTTTGCCTAAAAAGCATGTATTTTGTTATGCCATCAAATTAAATTAGAATTTGAAATCTATGTAGTTTTGAAGGTAAAATGTAACTATATATAGGCTATTATTTCGAAATCAGAACCAGTTCAAATCAAAATATTATTTTTTTCATTAAAAATGGGACACAAAGTGGTATTTTTTTAACTCTCTGAATAAAATTGCAAATTATAAGATTTATTCAAACTTTAAGGGTAGCATGGGCGCGTCTGATAGAAGATTCTGTTGAGGAATTGGTCAACTTCGAAGCCAAATTAGCAAGGTTTTCGATTCCCGTTTCGAAAGTGGTGAGCAATTTATTCATTATGCTCGAAATATATGCCAAGATTGGGACAATATCTTGATCGACCGAACATTCTCCGTATGGTACGAATTTTTGTTGTTGCGAAAATTCATTAAGTATATTTGGTTGAGCGGATAATTTATATTCTTGGAAGGAGAGAACATAACATTTGTTCAGTAATTGTTTGAGATATTGCAGCAACTCTTCGAACCAGGTTTCCCTGAACCAAATCAACTTAAATATGGTGTTTGTTAAATTATTTTATAAATAATTCTTTAAAACTAATTTTATAGTTACATAAGTCTCTTTTTGTAAAAAAAAGAGATAAAAAAATTGTAGTACTTTTTTAAAAATGTGAAACCTGATCAACCAAACCTTCCAAAGTGTACAAGGTAGTGGGATGCAATTCTCTCAAAACGTGCAAAATCCGCCGACACCAAACTATAGGGGACGGTGATGCATTAGCCACGGATGTGGCGCTACCTACGGAATTGAAAGAATTATTAATGCTTGCTGCATTTTTAAAACCGGGCCCGGATGTCATATATGATTGCGAGTTCACAGATGAGTCGAATAGTTTATTATCACCATTGGATACGGAACAAGATATTTGGGTATTTGTAATGTCCTGGGAAGGTTCACTCTGTCCTTCGTGACCTATTATATTTAAAATAATTTCAAGTACATGATAGAACTTTGAATTAGTTCTAAAACCAGACTAGGTGGGCTTAATATGTTAATAAATTTTAACCAGGGTTAAGGCAGACTTAAATATTAATCTTAAAAACTAGATTATCAATTATAAATTTGTAAGGGGGAAAATGGGATTCTTCTTTTCTTTGGAAAAAAAGAAGTTTATCATCAAAATAATTTAAACACGTCACTAAGTTTTTCTCCACTTATTTCTATATGTTACAGTCAAATCACGTAAATCTTAGTCAATTCTAAATTATTTGAAATTTATATAATAGGTATTCTACACATACTGGAATATATTTTTAGCATTATCATATTATTAAAATGTAAAAAAAAATATTTTATACAAATTATGGTGATTTACCAATTTTAAATAATTAATTTAGCGCGTTTTTTAAGTTTAAAATAATTTTTCAGGAAATGTATTCCAGCGCAGAATTATGCTATAAATTTGAGATACTTTGATAAGATATTACCCGATTTGACTAATGCAATACGCATATTAACTAATTGTGCAATTTGACACTATTAATGTTATTCTTTATATTCTTTTTTAAAATTTAAATTCATGTTAGTTAATATATTTTTTTATTTCTACATCTTTGTTTCAATTTTTTTTTAAATAAAATAATTTTCATTCTTTACCTTTTACCTTAAATTCTTATTTAATTTTATTTCTCCATATTTCAACTCTATTCTTTGCCTAGATGGACAAAGAAATTAAAAAGGAATATTTTTTATAATCAAAAAGATTGTATTTAATATATTTTTATTCATTATTTAGGCAAAATGTTGTTATTAACATAGCCTTATTAGATTATAGTTTCCCAGGGAAATTTATATAAATATATTCTTTAAAATATAAATATTTTTACATGTCAGATTTTGAGTAATGGTTGAGGTAGGTGCAAAATCATCTTTGGATTTCGAAATCATGGTGTTTAAAGATTCGGTGGAGCAATAAGAACTGCAAACTAAATTCTGTTTCATTTTATTTATTTTTTTAAATTTTAAAGGATTCTGTATAAAAGTTAAATCCAATAAATTTAAAAAATAGACTTCAGGAACTTAAAATTTTAAATTGGAAATATGAATTATGCATACTGTGTTTTCGGAATTTATAGTTGAGACACTATTAATTAAGAAATCTTCTTTATCGGGAGTAGAAGGTACGTGATTTTCTATCGATATAACAAAGTTCATAAGTCTTTGCCCTGATGCATCCAGATTACTATTCATAACAATAAATTATTAAATCAACTTTGTCTCTTATTTGTATTGATAAAAATTGTTAATTTTTCTTATAAAAAAGAATATTTATAAGCGGATTAAATTGTAATACTAGTAATTATATAAATAAAAAATGAATAATATTCTAGCTTTAATTTGATCAAATTATATTCTTTTATTAATCGAGAACTCTTTGGCTAGATAATTAGGAAAAGGGCAAATTTAATAAATAGATCCCTTGGATATTTAAATGATGATTAAATAACCTTTGATTAGATGTAGCAGCAAAACTCCCGAGCGTAAAGTTTCCTACCTCCGCATTATTACTCACATTAAGAGCCACGTCAACTAACGTCGAAGAATCGATACCACTTGCAACGGTGGTGTTCAAATGACTGATATTATTTTGGTGAGTTGGAGTGGTAACGAGATTATTGGGTGGAGTACCGACCACGTTTTCTTTGTATTCCATTTTCAGGGACAGAAAAGAAGTTCTAACAGGGAAAAATATGGCTTGAGGATATGTGCGACCGAAGTGGGTAATTATGTTCATTATGTACCTTCCCGCTAGACTTCCCTCCTTCCTCTCCAGAGACATTAGCAGCTGAGGTACCCAATTTAGCCAATGAAACGAAGGGATAGCTATTAATTATAATGAATTTGTTTTATATAACCAATATTTTACAAAAAGAATTTTTAACAGCAACCTTATTATGTTAATATAAAAATAAATTATATTTAACTTTTTTTTAAAAAACAATGCAAATATTATTTGGACTCAGAGAAAATGAATATAGAATATTGGCAAAATATTTTACTGGTTATATATTTATCAACGATTTCAGCTAGAGAACATTTGCAATCGTCATATTTGAGTAACCAAAGCACCTGCGCCAAATATTTTTCCACTTTCGTTTCGCTAGAATGTCTACATGCCTGGAGCAAGCAAGTGATAGCGGATTTGGCAAGATTAAAATTGTAAGGCAACCTTGGGTGGTAGGCTAAATCATTGTTATCTAATTCTTCTTGATTTTTATTTGTGGTATTGCTATCGTTGATATCCGCAAGGAAAGAAGCTTTTTTAACGTGTGATTTGGAAGTTATTTTGTCCCAAAATGTTTGGGATAGGCATTCACCCCATAGTCCCCAAGCTTTAATGTGCGAGTCTTGGAGTTGTATGGAAGCCGAAAAAGCTTTATCTGATTCATCTTGGCTTTTTTATGTTTAAATGAATGACAATTAATTTTAAAAAATTTTACTAAGTTTTCTAATTTTATTATTTAAAAAATATATATAATCTTAGAAAATTATATATTGGTTATAATCCTAATAATATAGTAGTTCTAAATTAATTATTACTTAAGTAGCAAATGATAACAATATCCTTTGTACGAATATATTTCTGAGACCATATCTTTAGTGAAATATTTAAAGTTGGTCTCTTCGATGACGTTATGAATTTGTAGCAATGATTGATTATTGGGCTTATTTTCAATGATACTCATATAATACATTTCCAAGTAACATTTTATAGTTTGTCTAACTTTTCTAAAACAGTCCGATATAGGCACGGAGGGATGAATCGAAATCCTAATAATAGAAATATATGAATTTTACAATTATGAGCTCTAATTAATAACTGTAAATATAACTTAATTGTATTAAAATAATGAAAATTTGAACAAAGTAGAGGCTTCGGTTACTAAAAAATTATACATTTTTTAAAAAATAAATCGAATTTGCAACTTATTTAATAAGTCCAGAGCCACGTAAGGTTGTTTTTGTTTGCGAGCGACCATAGCTAATTGAATATACCCTTGAGCTATTGAATGAGTTGAAAGTAATAGGGGATTGTTATTTGATATATTGCTCTCGCCTAAGTAATTAGGGTTATTCCCCAAATAAGAATTCGAGTCGAACAGATTTATAATGTATTGATATTGCTGTTGCCTCCAGGAAAATATGTCGTGCCAATAAGACAAATCATCGGATATTAAAGGGAATCGATTCCTATTAAGAAGTTGCAAATTACAAAAAAAAGAAGAATGTTTAAAAATAAGGTGGGTCTGGGGCGCTGAAAAATATTGAAATGTAAGATTTTACGTAACTATAATTAACTTGATGTACAGCTGTAAATTTAAATTTTGTAAACCTCATTTAGATAATTTAAAAACATTTTATAAATCTATTTACATAGTGGTGGAAAAAAAGACAACTGTAAAATAATTTTATTTCCACTAATTTTTTTTTAACTTAAAAATTCTAATAAATGTTTGCTACTTCCAAGTTTTAATGATAGATCTCATCTCGGTGAAATTAGGCGAGGTCCCAATGTTAGCTATAGTAGGGGAAGAGAAAGCGGAATTGTTGTTAGGCGCTAAAGTCGTGTCCGAGATATTAGAAATATTGCAAATCGAATTATCGTAAGGAGGTGGCGACATATTCTGATTCGATGAATTTGCCATATACCTTGTAATGAAATTATAATAAAAATTAAATATTTCTAATAGGACTAATTTGAGTTAATTTGGGTCTTTACAACAGTTAATTATCTCTTGAATTAATATGGCTAAAGCTATCATGAACATGAGGGGGCGAATAATAATACAAACCAATGAAATGAAAATTTATAATTATTTTTATAAATATTAAGCATAAAACTAAGCAAAAACTTTAATCTATTGCTTAGGACTGTGAATCCTTGCCCTAAAATAAAGGGTTGTATTGTTGCATTTGTACTATTATACCTTGTGATTTTGTTTGGTCTTACTTTTAATTTAATAATCCAACAAACAAAAATAAATATTCCTAAAATATATCTATAATAGAAAATTTTACAAAATGTGACCGTAAAATTTAAAATTTTTGCATAAAATATAATAAAAATGATTTTCACAAAATAATGTTTTTAATATTGAAAATAAATTTAATAAACAATTCTTGAACAATATATTTTAAAAAGGGATTCGGGTTCAGTAAATCTCGAGGGTTCGGGTTTTCAGCCATGGTATTGATCACATGATTAAAATAATATTTTTTTTATTAATTATTATGTAAATAGTAAAAAAAAATTTTGTCTTAAAATTATAATTTCTAAGAAAATATGGCTTATAATACAAAAAATTAAATTAATTCCATTCTTAAAATTATAACATATTTTTATAAATAATGTTATTCAGGGTAATAAAAAACCTAAGCATGCTCCCACTTCCGGTATCCCCATTACTGGACAGTTGACTAGATTGGTAGGGGTTGTTTGGCGCCTGTTGTTGATTGATATGGCTATTCTGGTGGTACTGAAGGGAGATGTGAAGTTGGGCTGCTTCTTGAAGTTCTACGACCTTCTGGGTCGCTCTTAGTAACGGGCCATGACAGCCTCTGACAACGAGGGTGTGGCAAGGCAGGCGTTTCCATTCTCTGACGCCAAGCCCGGTCGTTATTTCAACTATGCGGTCCATCATGGCTAGGTGATGTTCGTCACTCTGGCTCAGGGCTAAGTAACCAGCGCAGAGATTAACCTTCCAAGCCAATTCACGGGGACAACTTTTTTGAACCTTCAAAAAGTAAAGGAATTGTTTAATATAAAAAAAGATTCATATTAAATGTGGAGGTAAAATTTTAATTTTCAGAGTTGTATTAAAATTTAGAGAACAAAAAAATATTAAAATAATTACATCGCCAACCAACTTATAAGATAGACAATATAATATATAAATAATCCAAAACCGCTGTGAGAGCTTCTTTCATAGCATTCCAGTCGGAGAATTTCCAAGCGCAATCTAATACTATTTGAGGATTGTAATGCTTGGAACTAGACACTGAGGCATACTTGTTTAGATAATCCCACTGGTTGAGTTCTTTGAGGCAATGCACCCAATGAGTTTCCCATGTTCTAAACTCAGAATGGTGATTAGAGGTTATTGCATCGCTTGTTATGGAAGGAGTGGAAAGATCGGTTTTGACATTCTCCATTAGCTAAGAATACAAGTTAATGTTTATGTTTATAAATTAATTTCAAAATAATTTTGATATAAGAAGTATAAATTTATCTATGCCTTGGGATAGAGCTGGGAAAGAAAAACAAAAAATAACTATCTTGATTTTTACCAGCCTTACATTTGAACACTTACATTTTCGTAAGTTAGCATTGCATCTCCATAATTTCCCCAATTCTCGAAATTTAAGGCAACTGCCGTTGCGGGATACTTATTTTTATCGAGCCATAAGGCATACATCACGTCGTATTCTCCTAAAAGTGAATAAAGATCAGATAACGAATCATGGGTCTCCTTTTAAATAACATATAAGTTTTTATTTGATATAATTTAATTATGCACATATAAATAAAAATGTAGCAATCTCATAATTAATATTAAAATAACCCAAAACATTTGTAGATTATCAAAAAAATTGCTCAACTCAACCCCTTGGAATAACCATGTCAGAATTTTCGATTTATCCTTGAAAAGGTTTCATGTGATTGCATTGTATAATTAAAACTAATTCTATATTCCTAGTTATCTTCTGAAACAAAATAATAGCTTAAACTCTTAGCATTTAAGAACTTTTTAAAATTATTTTAAGCATATCATTTATTATTCTTAGAAAGTTTTTTTCAAATTATAATTCTTAGTGATTTCTCTTATTAAATTTGCCTGAGAGCTTAATTTTTTTTAACAAATCTCACTCCTCCTTCCCCGAGAACACAATTAAAACCTGGAAAAGAGTGAGTATAGGTTTATCTTGATCCAAATTCTCCGGTTGAAATTCGAAAGCGTCTTCAATTTTGCGTTTTGAATGTTGCAAGATGATGAGTGATTCTTTTTTTTGATCCTTGCCTTCGACTTCTTTTTTTTCCTCTTTGTTGTACATCTCTTCCAAAGCTAACAATGCCGTGTACCATAGATTGTGAGCCTTACCTAGATACTGATTTTTTATTAACGATGAAATATTAATAAATATTAGTATTTTAATTATTTGCATTGAGTATAAGTCAATTTTTCTCATTATTTCTAGATAATTAAGTAAAATAAAATGGAGTAGGTAAGGTAATAAAATGTGTAAATAGTTTATAAAATAAATTTCCATTAAATACATATTATTTTAAATATTTAAATATAAACCTTGATAATTGAAGGCTGTAAATAAACTTGAGGTCGACACCGAGAAAAGGCTTCAAAAAAAACGTTGATGACACTGGGGTGACAATCTTTTTGAACGATATGAGTTCCACTTAGAAAAAACAATTGAAACTCTTGGGATAGATTCTGTATAATAAGGTTGCATTTAAATTATTAAATCGGCAACGTGCAAGTGTATATTATCTAAAAGTATATCTAGCTTGTTCAAAAGGAGTGGCTTAATAAAATGATATTTTATCGACTTAAAATCGGTAGTGGATTGTTAATTTGCTCATAACGAATGTAAATTGCATTTTTTTTAAAAAAAAATCTTATATTTATCTGAAAGATATTATAAATTATAATCATATCATATTTAGATGTAATGATTAAAGATTAATTTTTTTCAGGAATGTTCCCAAAACTGGAAAGAAACATAATTTTTTTAAAATGAACCGGAGTTTGAAATATATACTTTAAATATAATCTTTATTTTAAAATATAAAATTTTTTGTAAATGTGCGACCTAAGATTCTTTTCAATTTGATTTAATATTTTAGCAATAAACATTTTATATAAATGATTAGATTGTCGGATGCCAGCAAGCAGTGAGAAAGATGAAATCTTAAATAAATAAAGTATCTAAAATGAAAAATTAAGAGATAGAGAGCAATCCCATAAATCGGAGATTTATAAATAAATTGGTAAGAAGGTAAATTGACAGGACACGTGATAATCATTAAGTTAAATGAGGGATCATTAAGATAAATCTTACAAGCGAATCACACGAGATAATTTAAATAACAAACAAGAGTCACGTGTCCCTTCATTCTACCTGCTTACCTGTAGATTTAAGCAGGTCGAACCCTTTTTTGTTCGTTGTCTAAGGTATCCCAAATACGGGGCAATAGTTGAATCCATAAGTATTCGCTTAGTTTAGAAGATTGGTGACATAAATTGATGAGCGGAACGCAAAAGGCGTTTTGAAGGGACCCTTTACTCCTTTGAAGGTCCATCACAAATTTTATCTCTTTGGCTAGTAGTCTGTTCAAACCATTGATGCCTGGTTGACAGGATAAAGATGTAGGTCTACTATTTTCATCATTATTATTAATATTTCGTGGTTTATGATGCTCCGATGTCGCGTGTGGGAAGGAAAGGGGTTGTTCATTAATTTTCTCTATCATCCCTTCGATATCAAAGTTTTCCTAACATACATATAATAATTAGAACAATGTTTTCCTTTCTCTTAGATAATAGGGTGATTTGTTAACATTTCAATGCAAAAGATTTAATGTAAATCGATAAAAAAAACATATATATTGTGAAAATGAAAATTTTAATTATACATATTCTGCGGAGGCCAAATCAGAGTTGGATGAACTGGAATTGCTAATTAAATCCTCTAACAATTGATTGTTGTTGGCTGAAATAGTGTTCAGATTCATATTTCCGTTATTTAAAATACATAAAGTAGCGAAATTTTTGGCTCCATCATTGGAATTAATATTGCCACCATTATTATAAATAACAGCCGACATAAAGTTATCAATAGTTTGAGTTTCGTCTTTGGTCAATTTTGTGGCGTAAAAATCCTCTTGAAAAACAGAGCTTATGCTGGGTAAAGTCATTGAAGGCGTTAAATTTTTAAAATAACAATCTTGGTCAGAGAGCATTAGAATCAACTATTTTTTTTATTTTCAAAATGAAAAATATCATTGAGGTGAGATAATTTTTAAATCAACATCCTAATCATTTATAATTTCAATTTGGAAATTCTTTGTAAATAACATAACCCTCAGACCCCCCCCCATCTCCTTAAGCCAATTATAATGAGACCTCCTTGATGCCTAAAATATAAAATGATTCAATACTGACTTATATGATGACTGATGAATAAGAGGGTACCCTCCCCCCAGGAGATTTCAAATAGCAAATTGATTAGCACCCCTTCCCCATCGTGCTATGGGGTCCTGACAAATAGCAATATAAAATAATTGTTCCTTAATAATATAAATTAATTTTTTTTATTGACTTGTATGCACTGTTTGATCCAAAAATGAGAACCCAGGGTCTCCCAATTTTGGCAGGAAACTATGTAGAAAAGGCGGTCATAAACGCTGAGCCCTATATTTTTATGAAAATGGTCGAAAAACTTTTGTCTCAACACTGGATTCCAACAACGAAGGCCTGATAGGTAAGCCGACTCTAATTTAGAGGTCAATTCAGTCGAGCTTATTGCATAAAAATAACAATTTTAAATAATGCCAAATAATATTCTTGTAAAATATATCAGTTTCGGGGTTTGGCTATAATAATATTTTGGGAAATATACACTGTTGTTGTTATTAGTATATAAAATAAATTTATTTCATTTTAAAGGTTAAAAAAAATTGACGGCATATTTTTAATTTATAATAAATAAAAAATGTTTACAGATAATGTTGATATAACATTATTTTTTTTTTCAACATAAAATATATGCATAATAATTTTATCTTTTGTAAAGTTAAAATTTTTTTTAAAATCGCTTAAATTTAAAAAATATTTTAGAAAAAACGTTTCAGTTTAGAAGTAATGGCGTTATAACTTTTTAAATAAAAAAAAACTAATGCTCAATTGGAAGCAATATAAGAGAGATAGGTCAATTCTATCAGACAATTTTCGTCTCTTGCAAATAAAAGGAAATACAAACGAGTTTATATTTATCGTCACGAAGTTAAAAGATCCAAGAACTAGATAAGCTATAAGTAAATAAAAATTATTGATGTTCACTTCTCATATGTAAGAAGTAATCGATAAACATCTAATTATTAATATTTAATTGTTTTTATATTTATTATACATAAATATAAATGTAGTTCAAAAAAGGGTTTTACCTCAACTCTTCATCTTGATAAACAAAAAGAATAAGTTCCAAAAATTTGTATTTCAAGCATTGGACATCATTGAAACGTTTTTCAATACAATGAGTCAATTTAACTAATATGATAGATTTTTCTCTAAGAGAAGGTGCTTGATTAACTATACTGGAAACTAGACGATCCTAAATATGAAATATTTTCATTTAAAAATTGTTAAATAAATTTATTCAAATTCATTTAAAATACATCTTAAACTAATTTAATAATTTTGCTTTTTTTGATATATATTATATTTTGTTAATTATATTTTTTTGTTAATATTTAATAATTTTTTTTATTTCCATAAAATAAAATTAAATAAAAATATGTTAAAAAATTAATATTGAAATTTGGTTTAAAATAGAAATATCTGCTCCTTCGAAGAATCATTATATAATAAGCCCCTGCTTAATACTTGTATTTTATATCCTATCCTCGTTTACTTATATTTTATATATTATACTGAATTATTTACAAGTACTTTATTTTGAAGCCATTCCCCTACTAATCCAATGATAAATTCTATCAATTTAGTGTCGGTAGATTTTTCGATTAAACCAATCAAAATGTTTCCCACAAAGTTCTTCCTCATCTCATTACTCATTATGATCAAACGATTTTTGATCAGATCTAGGCATTGGATGATACAGTCCCTTGGCTTTATTACTTGTATAAATTATAACAATTAAAATATTTATCTGGTAAATTCAGTATGAATATTTTGCTTTTTCTTTAAGAGCAAAAAAGTAATAAAATGTGCTCAGGTAGCGGGGTAAAATATTTAAATAAAACGAAGTGTCATCATATTAAGAAATCGGATTGAGTCGGATTTGGGATTAATACCTCATAATATATGTCGTGCTCGAAATAATTCAATAAATGTATTTTTTCAAAATACCTAATCAACTTACTTTAAAATAAAATAACTAGAGATCTACAAATATAAAAATAAAATAGCGCCTAGCAATTTGTGCAAAATATCTCGGGCCTGTAAAAAATATTTTTACCGGCAGGCCCGGAATTATTTTAAAGGTTAAAATATTATTTTATCCTATAAAAAAATAATTACATGCCAGGCCCGGCAACATGAGCAAAATTCTTTTACAGGCCGAGCACCTATCCAAGATTATTTTAGGGGACGGGCCATTAAAAAAACAATTATAGACCAGGTCAAAAAATCCTTTCAAAAATCTTTACCGGCCGAGACAATATCTAATCAAGACCCAAAAATCTAGATCTATTACTGTTATTTTTCTCAATAAGTAACCAATCTTATTTAAAATACAAGAAGGAGCATAGCGCTAAAATAATTCCAGTAGAGATTTTATATTTACGAGAATCATTATAGGTGACTGGGGAAGAATTGATTGAGAATGGAGAAGACGCGGTTTCTGGAGGAGAAGAGGATTGCATAGAACAGGAGGATATGTGATCTTTCACTATCTTTTGAAACACTCTCATGAAAGACGGTATGTATCTGTCCACAAAATGTGGGTTTCCCTCACAGCAATAACTCAAAAGGGAGAGAATATGGTGTAGAATGGGGAGTTGATTACCATGAATTCTGAATAAATAGAAGAAAATATCAAACAATTTCTTTAAAAAAAAAATATTAAATGAAAAACTAAAATTATATTAGTATATTTATAATTAACGAAAATATAAAAAATAATAACTTTTCGAGCGAGCCCAGATATTCCCCGATAATCAAGGTTATTTTTCCGTAATAATCTTCGAGTTCGATCGGGTAAAAGGTAATTTTAGAAGTATTGGAGAGAATTGAAGAATGTTGAGAAGTTAAAAATGCGTTGCAATGGGTGGTAGGGGCCAATTTCACCAGTCGACTAGTAAAACTTCTAACGGCTTTACCTATCTTGATACCATAAGCTTTGTAAAGTAAAGAATTATTAATATTTCCATGAGATGGGAGACAATTTTCGGGCATTGAAGGTGCTAGTTGATAGTTTGGCGATAAATCACATTGTAAATTAGAAGGGGTGGACGGAAGAGAATTTAGGAGGCACCAATTGAGAACTTTGGATAATTGTTTAAAATTTAGACGTTCACCAGCTGCTCTATTTAATCGAGGAGATTGAGGGTTATGGACTTCAGGAAAATCAATATTCGCGGATACTTTTGAGGGGAGGAAACAGGTTTTAAAAAATATATAATTTGAAATATTTTTAGAAATTTGAAATAGAAGGGTTTCCTTTGTAAAAAAAAATAAATAGTTAATGATATTCAATATCTTGGCTATCTATAGCTAATTAGTATCAAGTGATACTTATATGCCTTTCTTCAACTTTTCCAAATTTGTTAAAAATTGCTTTTGAAATGTAACTAAATACAATTATTAGTTACTTTTTAAAAGTAAATCTTCAGGACTCAAAGCCCATCAATATCGTCATTCAGGCATGATATCCTATCATCCATGAATTGTAGTTATATTTCCAAAATATGATCAACCTTATCAATAACTAGTGAGAAAAGTTATTTTATATAAATCAGAGACTAGCAGACCAGGTCCTATGTGTATTTCCGTAATTTAAAAAAAGATATAGGGATATCTGCAGTTTTTTGTGAGTAAGTCCCAAGAGCCTCGCTTAAGCTTAGATTAGTCCTTCTCCACCATTGTTATTGAGAACAATTTAATAAATTCATTTGTTTTAATTTTAAAGATAAATTAAAATTATTTGTAAAAAGATAAAACCATCAATTAAAATTCTATTACAAATTATTGTATCTATAATGCACAACGTAGCATTTTCTGATTTTTTTTTCAAAATTAATATAAGTAATATTGAGATAATAAGGAGTATCACGGGCGTCAGTTTTAGTCACGACCGAAATAAAATATCATGAATAATTTTACACTGAAAAAAATAATATCATAATATAATATTTATTTGCACCAAAAAATGTATACCATATGTAGTATTTGCTTTTAAAATTGGGCTTTTATTTAATTTTACATTAAATTTTTATCAAAATTGGCGTCTAAAAGGCTGGATATTCCCCCCCCCCCCAAAAAAAATAAGGTTCCATTAAACTAACGTTCTAAATGAGGGCTTGAAATACGCGAGGCTTGCATTTAAAATAAAATAAATTTGGGAACTCATCATATATAAAGATAAGGAATGAGCTTCATATTTAATTAACATCTGTTATTTTTGTCGATATATTTAAAAAATTTAACTAGTCACAGATATTTTTTTAACAACACTATTTCCTCAACTACTTAAATATCTTAAATATCATATTTATTAATTTACATAAAAATTATACAATTAAAAAAATTATTACTCAACCCTAAACCCTACACTAAATTACTCCCCTTAGATAGCCAAGCATATTTTTTTAATCAAAACTTTTTTCTCGTTTGCTAGCCACGCTTTCCTTAGGTGCGCCACACAATTTCCCCAAAAGACCAGTATAGCTCAGCGTATCTAAAAGTGAACAAACAGCATTGATGCTGACTTTTTGTTGCTGTAATTGCTGTTGAGTCAATTGGGGTTGAGGCGTTGTGACAATATTGGAAGAGCCTGAGGAAGAGTTAGAGGGAGTCATTGAAGGCGAAGGAGTCGAATGTATAGGGGGAGTTGCGATTTGGGATGATTGAGTCTTCAAATTTTCCTTATTATATATTATGTATATTATATAAATTGGCAAGGGAAAGGTTTTTCATCGTATTACTTGCTATTAAAATTGTAATTTTAAAAAGAACTCAATTAAAAATATAGGTTATAAGCATAGGGTTCGACTTATAGTACCTCCATGTCAGGTCCCACGAGATGGAAGGGGAGGGATCAAAGATGTTCGTTATCACCGGTATTAGGGTAAGGGAATCCGTTTTCGTTAGGAATTTAGTCATATCAATAATAGAACCCAGAATCTAAAATTAAAAAAAGAGGGAAAAAACTTGGCCACTAATTTGTACTTTATCTTTAGGTTAACAACCTATTAGATGAACGCATCAAAAAATAAAACAATAAAATACTTTAAGTTACCTCCGTAAAATAAAAATAATAGTTAGGAGAGGGTTCGTCCCCGTGCGGTATATTAAAGTAAAAGGAGATACTATAATGATAATTATAGGTTTCATAAACCTGTTTAATATATGTTTCGCCGCTAATGGGGATACACTTGATTTAGAAACAAAATTTTTTCGATCATCTCTTTTTATTTCAAGTCAATTTCTAATAGTGAATAATGTATCCCTTGTTTTCTTAAATTTAATCAAATTATATATAAACTAAATATAATAAATAAAATGACATGTTCATCTCATAGATGGGTATATATTTGAAAAAGAACAATAGCAAAGGGGAACCGATTCTAAACTCGGGGAGTATGGTCCTATTGTCGACAAGGGTTTAAAATCCTTTATACTAAACACAAGGATTCTAACTTCAATTTTACTTTAACTAATTAACAAATTATAACAATTTTTACTTAATAATTTATACACAAAAATAAATAAAGCAATTTAGTTATATTCACACAATTCAAATTTATATGCATAATAATTATTTATTCAAAGGTGATTGCTACATTTTCATATTAAGTTATCAAAAAAAGTAAAAGAAAAATATATCGATATTTAAGTGATCAGACATAAAATGAAATAAGGAAACTGCGATCATCTTCATTTTTAAAAAAGGTTCAAGAAAGGTGCAATTAAGGTAGAATAGAACGAAAACAACTAAAATAGGAAAAATTTGGTGTTCCTAAAACTTGTTCCCTCTTAAAATTTTTTCCCCTCTTTCCTAACGTTTCTTCAACGGTGCTTCCGGTGAATTTATTTTTGTTGTCTGATGTGTTTATAAAACAGGTAGCTAACCTAAAGTTAAAATACAAATGAGTCGCTTTCCCTTTTTATTGATATGAATAAATCCTTATAAAAAACGGGTAACCTGTCCCACATACGCCTTCATAATAACGACTGTAATCAATCCATCCTTTTCCAAAATCCCATTTGATCTGATGTGGGGGCACTTATTCGTAGCCAGCTCACCCTTCCATTCTATAAACTAAAAAAAAACTAAAATGAAAATAAAAAATATATAAGTTAATTGTTGGCCTCGTTTATAAGATGTCTAATTTTGTGGCCTAAGGGTTCTAAAAATTATAAGGTAATCTGAATAAATATGGAGTATATAAAATATATTCGTATTTATAAGGCAAAGATCTGAAAATCAAAAAAAAATTTAATTTATAAACGATGAACGCGATCATGAACGAAGTTCGTTTTTTTTGAAGAAATGATGAACGGGTGTTCTTTTTATTTTTGACAAACTTTGAACGTGAAAGCGTTCCTTTTTTCTTGACAAACGCATTCGTTTTTTAAGTTTATTTAATTTTAGAAAATTTCTTATTATTTAATGAAAATAAAAAAAATAATAATCGAAATATTTTAAGAAAAAGGGTTATTTTTTTTTTAATAAACTGCTCCCTTTATCACATTAAATTTTTCTTAACCCGGCACTATTCTTATATTATAATTTATTAATTTGATATTATTATTTATATTTTATAGATTAACATAAACATGGATGTTGTTATTTCATTTTCTGATTCTCAATAACATTACCATGGCCCAAATAAAATATACTTTACAGTAGCATCCTAAATCCAAGGAACTAATTCTATCCTACCAAATGATATGCAAAATGTGATTTAAAGAAACATTTGATTGAAATAATTATTATTTTATATAATATAATATAACTATAAGTAGCCTGTTAATAATTTATTTTTTATTGTTGTATTTCATAGGCGTATTCCTTATATATTATATACATAGATAAAAATAGTAATTATCTTTTAGTATTTATTTATTTTTACTATTATTTTAAAGTTTTTCTCAAGAGTTTTATATTTTAATTGTTGAACACAATTTAAAACATTATAAATTTATATATTTTATAAATTCAAATTTATATTATATATAAAAATTAATAAGAAATTTTTATATTCACTATATTATATTATATTGTATTTATATGTATTAAAATAACACTATTAATTTTAAACATGGCCATAAAAAATATAAGGCATTTATTTATTATTAAATCAAATAGAAATTTTAAAAAAATATTATTCATACGTTCTTTTTTTGAGGTGACGGTTGGACATGAATGCGTTCGATTTTTATTAATGAACGTAGAACAGGTTCATTTTTTAGAAATTTTTACAGTATTAAAAAAATCTTTCTGCTAAAAAATAACAATATTTTTTTTAAGTTGCTAAAAAAAACATTTAAAATAACATGGATATTTTATTAAAAATTTATATGAAGTTAAAAATTTTAAATAAAATCGTCGCATTAACGAACACATTGCAGAATTAATCATAATCATTGACAAAATATAAGTACTAAGGATGTCAAAATTTTATCCATCCACGAAAATTTTAGTTGTATATTAAGCATATCGGGAATTCCCAAGGCTTTTAGCAACAAACTATGGCATTTATTCGTTATATATTCAGAGATGTTGTTTTGAGCCGGAGATATTTCGGTTATCTAGTATATAAATTTACATTTTTTTAACATAATGGTACAAGCAAACTTTAAAGTGAGATCATTTTGGGTTTGGCTAAATTAAATCCCTTTTAAAGGAATTATGCGTGTTTTGAAAATAAATACAAAGTAGTTAACAAATAAAAAATTCTTTTCAAAAGATAAGCTAAGCTTAATAAATCTGGTTGTATAAAATAAATAAAACAAAAAATTTTTATTACATGGCATGCTATCCTAATCAAAAAGTTGATGATATTTTCACCCACCGCAGAACCAAAAGGTTTTGCTTCTATGGTTATATTGGCAGTAACGACAGGGCTTGTTGATGAGAGTGTTTGGCTAGAGCTATCATTGATACTTAATTCCGGTTTGATGTTGCTAATAATATTCGCTGCTTGATTTTTATCGGTAATAGCTTTATATTCCCATTCAATTATAACCTCAGCCATATCAACTACCAATTTCTTGTTTTCAGTCGTATTCTGTAAAAAAATATGAATTATTTCAAAGGACGAAGATTTAAATATTTGTTACATTTCCACTAAACCCTAATTTGGTCATAGCACTTAGGATGAGATGTATGAGAGAATGTCGAGATAAATAGTAAATTTCTTTGTTGGTGCATAAAATCTGCAACAAATGAGCCAACTGATTTAGGGTGTGACCTTCTTCCAACAAAATTTTTTTGGTCCAATATGTCAACATAGTCTAAAAAAAATAGAAGATACATTATGAATAATAATTGTTTAAATTTAATTTTACCAATCCATTTTCAACTTTCTTAGGAATAGCTGGAACTATAATTTCCAACGCTCTTTTGATGATATTCCTGGCTTCGGATGAAGAGGCCTTAAGCAGGGAATGAAAAACCTAATGTTAATTATTAAAAAAATTTTTATATAAATTATACATAGGATAGATAATATAAAGAATTTAGTTTTTATGATGATACTAGAAGAATAAAATTATAAAATGAAGATTAGGATATGTTAAATCTGAAATATTCCAATTAAACATCAAATGGATTTTTAAAAAAAATGATAACCTGAATCACGATACGTTTATGAATACTAAATTTATCGACTATATGAGCCAACAATAAGTGCCCATTGTATTTAACTGCAGGGTCCATACACACCTGATTTTGCAAACAAGGCCACGCAAATGTCACCAATTTTCTCAAAAGAGCATTTTGTTTTCTTAAAGATACACATTTTATATTATAAGAGTTTCTATCAAATAATTGTCATTTGTATATGATAATTTTTAAAGAGAAAAATATATTTTCTATAATTTTATTTATCCGAGCAATTTTATTACCAATTTTATTACTGTTAGCATCTTTTTTTAACAATTCAAAGTGTGTTATGTCATATATTAAGCTGAATAAATACTTTTTTAACTTAGCATTCCTTCGCTGAACGCTTCATTTATCTTTTCTGATAGATTAAACTAGTATCAAAATCTCTTTAAATAAATTATAATTACAACTGATAATTTTTCAAATGAATAAATACAAAAGGCAGGATGCGATGTTTATCTTTATAAAAAGGTATAACTTCATTATTCATATTTTTGATATCTAACATTAAGTTCAATATCAAATTATAACTTATTAATGGCGCTATTATTAGTCGTAGCTCCAGAACTGGCGGTCGAAGTTTGTAAATTATCGCTAAGCGTGGTGGATGATGTTGTCTGAGATATATCAGCGGAAGTATTTGCAGGTAAAGGCACAACACAAGTAGTAGTGTAATATTGAATAAAGAGAGAAGCCATTTTTAATATGGCTATCTTGAGCTCATTACAAATAACCGGAGAAATTGTAGTAGTGCCTGTAAAATTAAGGTATTTAAAAAAATAAGTTAAGTTAAATTTTACAAAAAGTAAAACACAAAATTCATTAAATTAAATAGCCATATTAAAAAATAGAACTTGGTAAACAAGGGTAATAATTTGATTGATAAAAAAAAAAATTATGGTCAATGTTTATCGAAGTTGCATTTTTCAATTAGTGAAGGTTAAAGGTTGGATCAAAATCAAAAGCCCGGATTGAAGACCGTAATAGGACCCATATATAATTTTTAACTTTAAGATGTAGTAGTTCAAAGACCGGATCGATATCAAGACAACCAAAGATTGTTTTTTGAGCTGGATTCTATCTTAATTTTCAGGGCAATCAATTCTTTGTTAGTTTAAACTTTTTTTAAAAAAATTATAAATAAAATGAAAATGAATGACATAAACTTTTTTCTGGTTGAGGAGAGTGCTTGCTAGAGCGTTGTTGCTGCAATTCTTGCGGAGTTTGAATACATACATCCACAAAAATTTTAAACAAATTTTTTTCATCTTTCTCTTCGCCTAATTCATGTTTGCTCATATTTTCGTTGGCCTCCATCAATATAATCTTGCAAGATAGTAATATTATAATTTAAATTTTTTAATAATTTTTAAAGTTAGATTTTTAAAATTATTTTAGAATATGCGATAACATACATCAATATATTTCTTATTTTCCAGGTTAACTTAGTTATATTCTATATATAACTAGTAATGAAAAAAGGATCTTTTTTTACTATGCTAGTTTTTCAAATCGGTCGTGAGTGAGGCAATTATCTGTGGACATTTATTGGCTAAAGATATTTCAATATTTTTTCGTTGAAAACAAACATGTTTTTCAACAACATCACCCTTTAACCCTTATTATACTCCTACTTAAAATGAAATTCAAGGATCTGTAATATTATTCTACCTGATCTGTTTGCCCAGCTTTAAAGGCATCCTCGAAAAGGGGATATAAAACATTTTGGAATATTGAAGCTTTAATATATTCATTCCATTCAGGATCGGAATAAATATCCAAAAACGCGGAGAATAGTTTTCTCTTCCAGCTACATGAATACTTAAATATTATATATAAATAAAATATACGTTTTAAATTAATTACGGATAAATATATTGTTAAAGCTTAAATTATAGTTTTAAGGGGCCAAAATGTTATAATCTCACGTATTTTAAACCCACTCTTAAATTTTATTAACACCAACCCTTTTTTTTAAAAAAACTCAACTCACTAAGGAAAAATTAAAACGGATTCAAACCACTGCTGTAAGGTAACATCAAAAAATGTAATATAGTGCATTTAAAACACCAAGTGGTACTGGTAAATATATCATTTTAAAATCAACATGTAAAACTTTAGTAATATCGTCGCGTATAAAAATTTTGAGTTCTTCCATGCTCTCCATGTATTTGTTGTTGGAGGACAACGATAATTCAAACAGTATCGTCTTTTGAGTTTCGTAATTATACCTATTATTAAATCGATTATGTTTTAAAAACAATAATGAATTTTATTTGTAATTCATTTGTATATATACATTTATATAATTATCCAATTTAACTTCTAATAATATGCAATTTGATTAACCTCGATAATATAATATTACATGTCGGAAAGTTATAATAATATAATATACAAATAACGTCCTTTTAAAATATAAAACGTCCCTTTAAAATATATAACTTCATTTTGAATATATACGATATTCAAATATAACACCTAATATAAATTTTTAAAAAATATTTACTACAATATTCTTGTTAGTATGGTAATATTTATAAGTATAATCAATTGTGATAATCTAAATATAATTAAATAAAATTATTCGATAGAAAACAACAAAAAACAATTTTTCAAAAAAATCACCAAAAAATATTAAAAATTTTGGAAAATTTGTATTATTGTTATTAAGAACATTTTCTTTTAAGGTACCATCCACTTCATTAATATTATTATTGTCTGACGTTATCCTTTGCGCTGGCATTAATTTATACGATGATTTAGGTATATAATATGAAATAATAAATTTCAAAATTAAAAATGAACAATAAATAAAAATTATAATTAATTATGATATTATATTTAAATTTTCGTAATTCATTTGTATATATACATTTATATAATTATCCAATTTAACTTCTAATAATATGCAATTTGATTAACCTCGATAATATAATATTACATGTCGGAAAGTTATAATAATATAATATACAAATAACGTCCTTTTAAAATATAAAACGTCCCTTTAAAATATATAACTTCATTTTGAATATATACGATATTCAAATATAACACCTAATATAAATTTTTAAAAAATATTTACTACAATATTCTTGTTAGTATGGTAATATTTATAAGTATAATCAATTGTGATAATCTAAATATAATTAAATAAAATTATTCGATAGAAAACAACAAAAAACAATTTTTCAAAAAAATCACCAAAAAATATTAAAAATTTTGGAAAATTTGTATTATTGTTATTAAGAACATTTTCTTTTAAGGTACCATCCACTTCATTAATATTATTATTGTCTGACGTTATCCTTTGCGCTGGCATTAATTTATACGATGATTTAGGTATATAATATGAAATAATAAATTTCAAAATTAAAAATGAACAATAAATAAAAATTATAATTAATTATGATATTATATTTAAATTTTCATATTTATAGTAATATTCTTTATTTTTTTTTGAAAGTAGCTAAGTAGAACGCTAAAAAAATAAATAATTGAAAAAAAATAAGGAGAGTGCGCTACAAGCGCTGTAAATTAATTACAAAATTATAACTAAAATTTCTTTAAAAAAAAACCCCATGAAAATAATGAAAAATTTTAATCCAAACCAGGTTTAAAATAATTTGACCTCTGCAAGACTATAATAATAATTTCTCGCTATGAAATTTAGTATTCAGTTAAATATTTTTATATAATCATCAACAAAAATACTGACTTAAAATAAGTCAAAAGCACGTGAACCAACAATCTCGGAATATCCCAGAAATCATTATTAAAAGCGTTATTCTCCGCAAAAATATTCTGAAAATTTTGATTCTTCCAAATGGAACGCAGTGATTTTACCTTTTAATTTTCATTTATATTAAAGAAAATATGTAAGTAAACTTTAAAAAAAAGAGAAATAATAATCGATATTTTAAGCGCAAGCAAAAAGAAAATTGAGAAATAGAAGAAAAATAAATAATAATGTAATTAGAATAACGATTTCGTGCAAGCCTCCTATCCATTCGTGGCGTTCTTTAGATACGATGTAAATAGTTTTTAAGGAAACGAACAAGCAAACCAAGATGTCGTCAGTGCGGCAACCATCAGTTTCCATATTACTTTCATTGCTTTCTGCCGAATTACTGGTCAAGCTCCAATCCTTGTTCGTTTCGATATAAATAGCCTATATAAAAAAGGAAAGATTTATAACAAGCGAACTTAGTCATTATATAAAGAGTGGCTTGATTATTTATTTGAAAGTTCTATTTAATAATAAAAGTAGCTAACGATGAGGAAAAACGTCTTTAGCCGTATTATGATTAACTTTATATGGATCATTATTACAGGAGTTATTTTAAATTAAGAACACCATGCCATGCCCATCAGTTAACATTAAATATTTTTATTACTTTAAAAATATCTCTCCGGAATTTTGATCCTAACTTAATTTTTTTTATCAGGAGTTAGATAGAACGTGATAAATTCATTCAATTATATTTATAATATATTATTGATATTTTGATTTAAATCTTTTTTCGATTTTATACAAAGATTTAAATTAAGAATGATTAGGTGTACAATAATTATATTCGTAAATCGTTTTTTTAAAAGTATACCTTAGATTTTAGAATTTAACTTTTTAAATTCCTTAAGATTCAATGCTACCTACCTCCTAGATAAAAAAAAGTATACAGAACTCGAAACAGAGTTTGAACTTAACCTAAAAAAAGTTCTTTCCGTATTTATATTTGAACAGATTCCAAAAAATAATATATGGTAATATATAATTTAAATTATAATATAAGAGCATTTTAAATTGTCTATTAAAGGTAGCGGCGGAATGGCGCTGCCCGAACCTACCAGTGGAATGTTTTTATCTGGGTTTTTTTAGCACGGGGTATAAAATATGCACAATTTATTTGGCCCAATCATAATTTTTACCACGGTGTCAGGTTCGCGTGTTGGGCTATGTCTACCTATATTATCTATATATTTTTTTTTAACTAATAAATATTATAAACTCCTAAAATTGAGGATTCAATATACCTTTTCAGATATGATTCGTTCCAAACATACGAAATCTTTTAAAATACAGTCGATAATTGATTTGGCTTCTACGTGCTTTATCATGGTCTAAATATTTTATAAATTAATAGGTTTAAATATATTTTAAGTAAAACCAAATTAAGGAAGTATATCACAATGATGTGTGCCGTATAATAGTCTGAATTTTCCGTGATCGCGATGCGACTCAACAGCTGATGGATCGCAAGCAAAATTGCTTTCATAGTACCAAACAATTTTAAAAGAGCCATTTAAAAATTCTTATCTGATAAAGCTTCAATTATGCTGTCAAAATATTTATTGTTTTGATGGGATGATCAATAAAAGAAGAAATAAGTGTGCTTTAAATATCAGAAGAGGAAAATACCATGTCCTTTTTAGAAACCTTCGTATAGCCAAGTTAATAATATATAACTTTTTATATAACAAACAATCTTTTACATGCTAAAACATATTGGACGTAAAATTTGTTATCAAGATAACTATTTTATAAATAATCATATAAGAGCTTAGAATAAAAGGTATATAACATCAAGTACATATTATATATGTGGCAGATAAAAAATAATTCTTTAAAGGCAGAGTAACATGGCTATCTCAACGGGGAAAAAGTTATTGGAAAACTGAGGAAAATAAACATTGAGGGGAAAAAATATGTAGGAATAAGTCTTCTGAATGTATAATAATGGGTATTGGAATGGCCTTCATCTAGTCTTGACTCAACTTAATAGGGAATATTGGGGTATTAAAAGATTTTAATGCATAGCCTGGTATAGAGAGGTATTTTCAACAAATATAAAAAAAAATAAAATCAATGTTAATTAACTCTTCCAAATATAATAACTCCCATCATTCAAGCAAACAGTGATGTAACTAAATTACTCTTAAATTTCTTAATGTGGTCGTTTTTATGAAACACGCCATTTGAACTTTCCTAAATTATTATATAGTCAAACCCGTCTCCAATAGTCAAACCCGTCTCCAAGATTTTTGCTCAACTTAACTAGTTTCCCAATAAGACTTTTTATTAAAAAAATATTTTAGCATCTGTTACATTCTTAGTTTAGCAACAAAAGTGATGCCCAACCACAAAATAATTTATTATTTTATTAATTCATCAAAGTAAAACTATGTATGTATACATAAATTTATAAGACTAAAATATTATGAAATGATTGCTTATAAAATAAGAAAAAAAATATATAATTAATTTTATGGTACGATTATTTGCAAAGCGTTTGATAATATTTTTGGATATATAAATATCTTAAACAGTTCCTTTAGAAATATTAAATCATTTAGCATATCTCTTTGTGAATAACCTTATATTTTTTAAACAAAGATACTCGTTATATTTGTTTTCTTCATTAATTTTGTTATTTGATAAGGATACTTTTAAAAAGATGATAAAATTTTATAATATGACCCTAAAAAAACAAATGCTCACTTTATAGAGGTCTAAACGCATATAATAGACAAAAATTATTAAAATGTACCCACTTCAAAATAGACTGTTATCCAATTAATCCATTTTCTAATATAGTAGTTAATAGGAATTTGATTGAGACTCAAAATTTTAGTAAAATTAAGGAGTTACCCAAATTATTAATACCCCAAATTATACAGGTTTGATTATATATTTCTAATAATACAATAACATTATTTTTAGATTGAAAAATAGTCATTCTTTTTACAAGTTCCCAAAAAAATGTCGAAAATGATTTTTTTAAAAAAAAAAAAATTTAAAGTATATCACCAAGAAAAAATTGTAATATGGAGCTTGATGTATATTGGGGTCCGTTAAAAATATCGTTACAGTTTCTTTTGGGTAGATAGCGATAAGATTATAAAGCTCGGGTCGGATGTATATAATAATCTATAAAAAATTATACAAAGTTAATTATATTCATTTCTATATTTCTTTCTTTCCCCCTTTCTTTCTTTATTTCTTCCTTTCTTTCTTATTAAACTCGTTACCAATTTTTATCTGATAAAAAAGTAAATAATATATAAATTATTTATAGTGTATTATGATTTTATATTAACTTCGTTCAAGAACATAGAATCCAAAGATAAAATTTGCATACATAACGAATCTAATATGTGGGAAGATGCAATGGGAAGGGCACAAAAAATTTTCAATATTTCTGCGCAAACTTTTAATTCCTATATAAATATTTGCGATATTTAAAAAAATAAAATATATTTATAAGTTTACAAGTTTTACCTGGCAATGAGTTTTGATACCCGATTTTGACGAAAGTACTTTCAATAAAGTAATCATGTGCGTCTTAAAATAATGAAATATATATAAATTTTAAAATTATTTATATATTGTTTTAAAAAAAATTAACCATAAGATGTTCACAAAATTTTTCGTTGAAAGTGTTAGGGAACAGTCTAGCAAAATACAGTAATCGAGTCAGAAAATTTGGAGTTAAGTTGCGGTAATCTCCTAGCATCAATAACAAATTCCGGATAGAGTGATGCACGGATTCCATGTCCACCTGATGCTTCTTCACGTACTTTTTTTTTAATTTGAAAATTGTTTTTATTCATTATTATAAGGTTGGCATGATCTAAATCGCCTTGATAATAAAGATTTTTTTTTGTTTTTATTTTAATAATTATTAGTTTTTGTATTCAAATAAAAATACTTCTATATTTTATTAATTTTTATCATAAATGATCTTATACGTTGCACTTGTTTTAAGCCTGAAATATTTATTTGGTATAACTCCTATAAAAATTTTAATATTGTTAAAATTAAAAAATAATCTTTATGCTTTCCTGTTTAATAAATATGTATTCTGTTCTATACTTTCTTAATACTGTTACGACAGATGCAGTTTATAACTATTAGTTCCAGTTTATGTATAAATATTAATTAAAATAATTTAACATTGTTAACATTTTTTAAAGTTAGTTAAAATAAATGCATGTTACATTTTACCTCAGGAGTTATTTTCTTCCAGAGAATAGTTTTTAAATTATTTTTATATTATAAAATTTGATTTATATCAAAAAATGACGATTTAATCAAAAAAATCATGCTCTTTGCTAATCCTATAATAATAAATGTTAGTAGCGTCACAATAGATGTGCTGCGCATACCTGCGCCATCGATCAATTTGGTTTTACATTATAAACTTTAAATATTTGGTATATTACGCAAGAAAGACACTTAAAAGCCGTGTGTTGTATATCGGGGTTGGAGGAATTTAAGTTTTTGAAAAGGATATTGAATATTTTTTCTTGATACTGGTTGATATATTGACATGAAGTAAGTGCTTCTATTAATTTTATATGATATAATATGATTTATTTTACAGAATTAATATAGGATAAATTCTCTAAGAGCTTAAGAAAGCTTAAATCACCACTGCTTTTTCTATACAAGACTAAAAATTATGGCTATTTTAACATAAATAGTTAGATTTACTCTTTATTCCCCAGCTTACAGATAACTTAATATAGTAATAAATAAAATATCTTAAAAAAATTTATATATATAACTTAAAGCGCTCCTCTTTAATTCTGTTATATCGTTGTTCAAGTTTTTATAGCATGGTAGCCTGAGTAAAAGGGTGTCGTCAGCTTCGCACAAGCTCATGAGTTCAGTGAAAAATACCCTGTGTTCAATGATCGATAAATCAAGGGTAAATATTTTGTGATCCATATTTTTATTAATATTCGTATTAATATGATCAATAGCATGATCCTTATTAATAAAATTGGCATCTTCCTCGTTAATTATATCAGAATACCCTGAGCAAAATGTGACGGCTTCCTAAAGTGTTTTGATAGGTTAGCAATTATGGGGTAATTATGATATGTGATAAAAAAAATATAATATTTTTTTTAAATAAAATTCCTAAAAATTATACATATTTATTAACTGAATTTATCAATGGAAGTTCTTAAAATTTAACTATATTATATTACCATCAATCCAAATTGTGAATTAACAGATTGGTGCCGCAGCAAATGCTTTTTAGGAGGTATCAGATCATAAATAGTTGAGTTATAAGGATTAGTTAGTTCAGTCAATGATTTATTAGTTAGACGAGATAAAAGCTTCAAGCTATCCATAGCCTAAAAAAAATACAAAATATGAATCAATATGTTAGAATAATATAATTAAAACAATATTTTAAAAAATTAACAAAAAAAACTATTTCCCTTGTTAAATCTAAGTATACGAAAAATCTTTGAAAAGTATTACCTCGTTGCGTACTATTTTAACTGGAGATGAAATTCTTAGAATCAATTCTTTGCACACCGAATTTGTGCACGATTCTCTAATTAAACTATCAAGCAAATGGGAAGTGCATGAGGTTACAAGTTTTTTCAAAACATTTTTGGCCAATTGAATCGTCCCATTAGCAACCTTTAAAAGATGTTTTAAAATTTTGTATATTTAACACCCACCAGAGTTTGAAATGCTCTTCAGAGTAAAAAATCATCAAAGATTTTATTGAGAATGCATACAAACAAGTTCTTTCTACTTAAATTCCAAATCCCTTTTCTAAAAAAATCTTTTGTGATTTTTATGCATAAAAATATTTAATTTTGTGATCTTCAAATTATGTTTCAAACTCTATATTCACATTAATAAATATTCAATTCAAAAGTGTTTTTAATGCAGAAAAAACGAAAATACCTAACCTCGCAAAAAAAAGGGAACCATTATCTTTATTTACATGAGATAGAATTTTAAAAAAGCTCGTAAAATAAAATATTCATTTATACGAGCTGAGGATTTTTAACTGGCTCGTATAAAAAAAAAGAGATCAAAGGATTTTATACAAGCAAGATTTTAAGCAATTCGTATAAAAATTTTATTTTTTATTATTTAAAAAAGGTTGTATTGTTTGTAAAAAAACTAGTGCCATTTGAGCTTTTTATCAGAAATGAGAAATATTTATATATCTGAAATCTCCATTCAATTTGCATTTTAATGATGTGTATTTCGATATACTATATTTAGTTTTGAAAAAAAAAAAATTTTCCTTATATTTTTAGAAACACTGTTACGGTTATTTTATACCCATAATCATATTAATATTTGGTGTCAAATTATTCCTGAGTTCCATTTTTAGAACTTCAAAATCAAAAATAAGAATATCGAAAACACAAAAATATAAAAATTGAGTGTGAAGTAACTTAAGAATTCCCATACAAAGAATCCTTATACCTTATTAAAGAAGCACATATTATATAAAAAAAATATGGATTCCTGTTTAGCTCTTCAATATAATTTAGTACTGGTGGGATACTGACAAAAAAAAAATTTTTGACTAAATTTTTATTTAACTTTTTTTTATAAAGCGGGCAAAATAGACCATTGTAAAAAATTGAAAAAATTTTTAATAATTATAAATGCTTTATGTTCATTCTGGCGTGGTTGACCATGAATAAAACTGACGGAATATGCACTATGAAAAAAAATTTTTAGCTATCAAAACCCATTGCTATTTACATGAAATAAAGAATTGGCAACGCTAATTAATAATTAAAATACATATATACAGTAATTACATCGTTGGTCAAATCCATCAAAACGAAAAAGAGAGCCTTTAAGTATTCAATATGGTGGTCTAAGAGCCATTGCTCGTTACTTTTGATAATGAGCAGATTAATACCTATGCAACCCCCATTTTTTTGGTACCAGGCTGGAGAATAACAAAGAAACACTATTCTGTCCGATAAGTAGCGAAATATGGGCAATTGAAAGGCCTTTAATTAATGTGTAACACATTTATAATTTTATTTTTTTAAAAATGATTTTGTATGTACATTTTACGATAAAAATTAAAAAGGCATAGAATGATGAAGTTTATTTTTATAGTTATCAGTTATTTAGCATTCATAAATGAATGTTTATTTATCTCTTTAGGTTTGGCAATTGTTGACTAGTATAATTATAACGAGATTATAATACCCCTTATTCTAATTGTAGTTTATAACTTCATCGATTTTAAAATATAAAACGCTCTCAAAATATTATTAATAATAAAATCCGTCATGAAAAAAATGTAAGTGAGCACTAACCCTATGAGTACTACCCACGATAAGAATGGTGGCATTAATAAATCGAACGAGCGCTTTGACTGCTGGTTTGCACAATTCCTTGTCCGGGTGGGCCATTATATCGTCAACTAAGGCTTCTATCATCACATCGCTTCGCATCTCTTCCCAGAATCTCCTTCCACAGATGGACTTGTTTTGGAATGCTTATTATATAATAATAGAATAAGAGTGGTAGATTTTAAAAATAAATGTTACACTATAAGGAATTAATTTTGGCAATTTTCTATGAGTCAACTTATTTACATTTATATTTAGGACTAGGGAGTTGTTACTTGAGGGGGGGGGGAGTTTGAAGATCTTTCCAATACTTATTTTTGCAAAATTAAGATGAGCGCCTTCGTTCATCGTTAGAAACAAACTGATTTAGGAGTCTCATACTTTAAATTATATATAATATTAGGATTTTTTTAATTACTCATAAAAAAATGATAAAACCATAAAAATAATTTTACTAGCTATAAATATTTAATGTCCTATTCCTGATATGAGCGAAAAAATGGTGCCCCACTATTAGATGATTAATTTATAAAGGTTATGAAAATATGTACTCATTAATTTTACCATCGCTAATGAAATTATCATGAATTTGATCATCGGCTAAAGTAAGTGAAGGGGATTGATAATAAACGGGAGCAAAAAGTCCAGCTTGTCGTGATACTGCCAACAATGTGTAGTGATGAATTACGTTTATCATGAATGGTAAAACTTGGTCATGCAACTCTTTAATAGCCGACGCCACTGTATTAATTCCATTTTAATAAAAAAATATTATTTGGTATTTTTGAACAAAATAATTTGTAGAAATCCATTTTATATTTTAACAGGTAAAATATTAATTGAACTAATTTATAAATACAAAATGCATTGAAAGAGAAAGAATATATTTTAATAAAAAAATCTCAGAAATAACAAACTAAATAAAGCAGCCAACGCTTTTTTATGAGTACGTCTAGCCATTTGATCATTTGAAGTGTGGTTATTGGTAGATTTTGGCTTAGCGTAGAAAGAATAAATAGGCGTTTCCATGAACGATGGGTGAGTAAATAATTTGTAAATCTTGGTTTCATCGTCAAATTCCGTTGATATGTTTATCGAGAGAAATGCTAGTATTACCTTTATTGTATTGATAAAGCCAAAAGAGCAATTAAATAAAATATTAAGTATATCAATTTCAATAATCGAACCCTCCACTTGGAAAATTTACTGGACTGTATTAAGTATTACATACGTTTAAAAAAAATAATAATAACCGGAATCTGGTTGGTCATCTTGATATTTTCTTCGCACTACCATAAATCGTATAATAATTTAATTTTAAAAAATGTTCAAATTCTGTGAAATAATTATTAACCTGCCAAGCATTTTGCCTTTCAAAACTGTCGCTAAAGTTGTTATTGAGTGTTTGGTAAGCGAAGTCAATGATAGGGTCTATGGGCAAATCGATAATCTCGTTCGTGTTCACTAATTTTATCCCTACAAATGAGCCTCTTCCATCTAAACAATCGTAGTAAGTTAGCTATTTGCGTTATAAAATAAGTAAAAAGTAAAGTATGAAACATAGTATTCAAAGCTTAACCATAAAATTCGTATATAATATTCAAGGTATTTTTTTTATTTAACAATTATAAAAACATACATTATTAATCATTTATAAATATAATGTAATAAATGTTTAATCTATCTATAACATATAAATGCGTCTCGTATTACATTCAAGAATGGCAAATTTTTAATCTAATTTTATAATTAAATTATAAAATGAGCAAGAGCAATAAATCCCCATTTTAATAATGAAAGTCACCACGTGTTCTTCATATTATTTTATTACTGACAAGACCCATAAGATTTACAGTACAACTTATTAAAATAAATAAAAGTGACGCTATTTCATCCCTTTTAAATTCATTATCCATAAATTCATAGGAGGGAATATAAAGGTGTCGCTGGGTCTTCCTTCTTGCGTGGGTATTCAAAAAACATCATAATATGAATGCATCAGGTGCCCTCATCTTCAACTCTTGATATTTTGAAGATGATATTAAAATGAGAATAGTTGAATTATCTTAAAGATTCCCCACTTAGTTCAATCTCTCTGATAATGATTTGTCTTCAATATTTAAATACACTCCCTTTATCCTCCTCTCTCACCCTTTTTATAATCAAAGTAGTCTCAAGCATTCAATATTCCAAAGCCAAAAAATATACCTATAACTCGAAACTATTTCAAGTTTCAACTTAGAAGATTCTCACTCCAGAACAACTTCGCAATTTCATAAGTTTGAGACCTGAAAGCAATTGTCATACTGATTAAATGCGTCGATTGCAATGTTCATTTTAATAGCGCACCCACTACATGTGTATTCAAAAACGAATCGAATATTTGAATTTAATAGGTACTAATACGATTATAAATATGCTTGCAAATAGTAAATTATTCGATAAATTTAAATAAATCGAATAGGATTATTGCATTATTTGAAAAGTATTTGATGAATACTAAACCAGAGTTGTTAAAATACAAAATTATTTTATCTATATATAAAATATTTTTATCTCTATCTATTTACAGATACATTTTAAATCAATTTTGTTTTTTTATTATGTGAAAAATATTTAAATTTAATCCAATTTTTTGTATTATAAATTTATTAAATACCTGTGCTAGTTTTTCAATTCAAGACATGTTTTATTTTCACAATCGATGGCGAAAATATGGTATATTTTATTAATCTTTGTACATTCAAATTTTGAGTTGATTAATATTAATATTAATAATACACTGATGAAGAAGATGAAACATTCAATAAAGCATCGGCAAATTTTTCAAACTCGATTGGATTTGATCTCAAATTACAGAAATTTAAAGGAAAAAAGGAGTTGACACTGCGATTAGTGGATGAACTATCTAGGTTTCTAATGATACTAAAGAGAAAACCGCAGAAAAAAGGTTTAAAATTGATATTATATATTTTCAACAATCCCAAGGATACGGATATAATTATTAAATAAGTATCATACTATAACTAAGGATTATCCAAATATAAAGGTATTATTCCTATAGTATAACCGTGCCCTACCTTCCAGCTCACCAGTTGAAAGAATATTTAATATACCTAAAATATGTGTTTAAACGGGGATGCCCCAGTAATGAAAATTGTAATCAAATATTTTATTACTAAAAACTAAGATAACAATAATATTCAATAATCTAATTATATATGAATAAATAATCACACTCAATAAAAATGTTTGGCACAATTACACTTTATATGATTATATTAAAAAAGGTATCTTAATCGTATATTTGGAAAATTGTATATGTATCTAGATACATTTCCAAGTGATAAATTATATTATATTCTAAAGATGTATATTTTAACAACTCTGTACTAAACTACATCGAAAATTTAAATTTTATAGATTAACTTGACTAAATTTAACAATAATTGTTTATAAAAAAGCCCAATTAATCCATTTCATTTTGAAAAAATCAGGATATCAAACGGCATCATCTTAATTCCTCATGATCAAATAGCCTTTCATTCCAATTGTGTGGAATTATACTTGTTATATAGGCTTTTTGGTTAAAAAACAAATCTTTCTAATTCCACAATACCATAGAAATATTCAAATACATTCTTAATATCAGGACTAACAGCCAGAAGTTATTTTTCGATGAGGCCTATTTGATCAATCTAGGATGTCTTTCAACATGAGTGAGTGACCCCAATAGAGTTTTACATCCTAGGGACAGGGTTATACTTTAACACTCCTGATGATGTAATGATATTTTGCTTTTTACATAGCTTTTTTTTATATAATATTTATTTATATCGCTTTTATAATTCGTTTCGTTTAGTAAATTTAGTATTCTATATTGATACATCGATATCTTTAATAAACAATAATAACAAAAAAAATAATTATAATTTAAAAAGGACAATAATTATAAAAAAATATTTGACTAATTTTTTAAATATTAATCTTATTTTCTTAAAATTAAAGATATTAGGTATTATAATATAATATAATAACTTCCTGACATTCCTTGATAGCTTTTCGATTAGCCCCGCCAAATTTGCCCAATAGTCTGAAAGCTGCGTGAGTAATTGCCGTTTCATTCCCCCCAGCACTGTTTGTTCCGACATTTGACGCATTGTGAATGTTAGAACCACTGATGTTATTATTACTATTTTGCAATGAGCCAGGGTTAGAAAAGCCTAGACTGTTGCCACCAGACGAGGACAATGAATTAGGGCCGGTTGCTATGCTACTGGCGTTTTGAGAGGAGATATTGGAATGGCAACTCGAAATCGAAGAAGAAATAAGATTGGAGTTAAAACTGTAGGTCTGACCCAAAAGGCCCCAAAGAGCCCGTGTTAATCTGCCCCTAACTGGGTCTAGGTGTTCTTTTAAGAATTCTGGTTGCAAATTATCCACGCAAAGTTCGAGCGTCCTCAAGCCCTGGCTGACTAATCCGAGGCTTTGTGAATGATGATGCGCATAAAGGGAAGAACCATTATTATTGGGATTGAGGTTAAAGTTGTGATAATCGGAAGGGGAATAGAATATATTGGAACCGTTTGATTTGACGGTAGAAAAGGGAGAAGTGTTGAGGGCTAAAACAAGTGGATCCATAAGAAGGGGTAAGTGGGGAAGTAAAGAACTGAGCCTAACAGGCACTGTGAGGCATAGCTCTACAAAAAGATCTGATAGCTGTCCCGGGGATCTTATGTTATTCAGGTTGTTATGATAGGATGATGAGGAATTAGTTTGATTGGGTACGCTATTTATGTTTGAATTCGAATTTTTTGTCGGTGTATTATAGGGGACGCAGATGGATGAGGATCTGTCATTGTCGCAATTCCCAGAGCATAAGAAAAAGTTCAAATCTTTTAATTTGTATATGAAAAGGATAATTTGAAATAAAATTATTCCAATAATTATTCTAATTAAGGGAATATCCATTTATAAAGTAAACATGTATTTTAGATAAACCTCTACAATAGAATTCCCACTTTGCGGCTATTTTTTATAAGTCGTGATGATCAGTCACAGTCCCCAAAGTTTTAGAGAAATCACAAAAATATTATGTTTTATATATAAAATCAATCCCAAAATTAATGTTTTAGCTATCCAAAATGTTTCTAGAAAATTAAAAAGAAGAATATAGCAATGACCAAAGACTTCAAAAAATTTTTATTATGCTGCCTTTTTTTATTACCTTAGCATCCAATCATGATGCTTAAAAAACTATCAATGGTAGATATTTCATACATAAAAAATTATTTGGGATATAGCGAAATATCGAATCGATCTGAACATTCATTATTTTTTATTATTGAATGCGGGATAAGTAGAGACTGAGAAAAATAGCCCTGGACACAATACCCAATTTTAATTTGTTGAATACTTAGAAAGTTTTAAATCATTTTAAAATAATAGATGGCTAGAAATTCGATTTTAAGGAATAGATACTTTCAATATTTGAACATTTAAAATAATTTTTTAAAAAATGATTATTATAGTTAATTTGAAACATTAGAGTTAATGAATATTTAATCATTAATAAGTAGGATAAAAAAATTAACTAGGTGATATAGTTATATTAGGTAATGAATGTCATCGGTCCAACTCTATCAATCTTAGACCGAAACCGGACCGTTTGACAGGCCAGTTTTTTCGAGAACCGAGGTTCGAACCAGTCTTTAAATTAATTTTCAGTTTGGATAGTTGTCCGGACCGGTTTTTATTAATATTTAAGTTTGCCACACTATTCAATTCATATAATTTTTTTTTACTAAATTTTTGGGTATATTTTAATATATATTATTTTTCTAGAGTTACTTTAGTTTTTATGATTCATTTTTAGTTCATTTTTGCAATATACTATTAAAAAGAAAAGTTTATCAAAAAATCATTAAATATTTATTTATATTATTCATATTTGATTTAATATTGTTAACATAAAATACTTTTATATTTAATGAAATGATAAAACAAGAATTAAATTAGGTAAAAACATAAATATTTTTAAAATAACAACACAACAAAGATTAAAAGACTGGTTTTGGGTCGGTCTTTTATTTATAGTGGGTACCGGTCTTTTATTTGAAGACTGTGGTCTGATCAGGTCCGTGAGTATTGATCTGGTTCAGAAAACCCCGGACGGTGGCATTTACTATTTATCGGGTCGGCTAATATAGATTATCAGTCTACAGCTTGATATCGGTAAATATGGATACATCTTTAAAAATTATTTAAATTAGATTGAAGAAATTGGAAATACTTTGAAGTAAAGATGGCAAAAGTGGAAGAAATTCTTGATACAATGAGTCATGAGTCCCGTTACCTATAAATCTGAAGAGATATCGTAGCAGCAAAAAGTAATTGAAAGGTTCTTTGGCGTTCAGCGCTAACTGCATACAGCTGGTTATAATAAAAGATAGGTGATGCTGTATCACCAATTTTTTACATTAAAAAAACAATGTTAATGCAACAACAATATAAATGTTAATAAAATTATATAATATAATTATTCCTAAAATTTATATATTATTTATGCAGGAAAATTTAATAATATGAAAGCGAAAATAATGTTTTAAATGTAGAGGAGACCCGGATTAACACTTTCAAAAAAAAATTAGATAATTTTTGGTTTTTCCTATAGTAATAGGATCTATTATTATCTATATAACTAGTATTTTTCAAATATATTTTGAAAAAAAAGTGATATCATATGGATACCTCCCCCTCCCATATCAGGAGGCGTAATAATCTTAAAATAAATAAATAACGGGAAATATTGAATTGATTGCACCTCATTTTATTTAGCCTATTTTAATCATCATAATTAAAGAATTTATACTTCGATTTATTTTTAATTCTTAATATTGTTAAATTTAAAAAATTATAAATTCCATATTTTATTAACTCCTGTTTCAAATATAAACAAGCATATTTTGTGTATATTATTAGGAATTTATTTAATTTTAATATTTAGGCCATAAATTGTTTAAAATTAATTAAGATCACGCCCCTCGAGAGATTAAATTAAATGTCAAGAATAACGAGACGTGTAAAAAATTTTAATCCGATCAATTTAAAAAAAATAACGATTCCACATTATTTAAAGGACAATATCGGCGAAGTGCTAGAAGAAACTAAGTGCATTAAAATAACATATTTTAACCAAATTTGCGCCTTTCGAGACAAAGGGTATTTTAAAAAATTTTATAGCCGAATGCTCTCTTGCCCAACTTACCAATCAACCCTTATTTCCCCTGTTCAAAAACTAATAATGTTAATTATAACAAATTAAATGAATAATAGCGGCAAAAAAACTGCATACCTTTAATATAGTTTCATTTTCGGTAGATATGTAAGATACCGAACCAAAAATTAATTTAAATATTTTTAGAAATAAATTGGCCTTTTCTTTGTTACAGCCCAAATCGTCAAAGTTTTTAAGCAAATATTCCAGTATGATATTGGTAAAAGGCGGAGAAGTGGTGGAACTAGCCAAAAAGCAGTTGAACACGATCTACATTATTTAATAAAATACAAATAATTTTGAATATATGTATTTCACCTCAGCTAGTCTCTGGTATTCAATAACTTATATAATAGAGATCCAACAGTGACAGTGGCATAGGCATGGGGGGGGGGCATGAATTTTTAAATTTTAATTAAATAAATTCTTAATAAACGCTTGATTTTTATGTTTTAAATTTATTATAAATAATAATAGATATACACATTTGATTATTTTTATATTTATTAAATAAATTTTATCAAAATGCTACAAAAAATTGATTTGGATTTAAGGGAGATTATGAATAGAGCAAAGCATATTGTTGAAATATTAACAAATATCAGAGAGAATGTGGATGAAAAATTTCATGAAATATATGAAAAAGTAAAGGAGATTGCTAATATGTTTGGAATTGAAATTCTTAAACCTAGAGTAGTCTCTAGACAATCCAATCGATCAAATATTGATGCATCTACGATTGAGGATTTTTATAAAATAAACATTTTTATTCCCCTTATTGATACATTTTTATTTCAATTAGAAGAAAGATTTATTAGTCATAATTATATTTTAAAAAGCTTTTATTTTCTTTTGCCGGTTGAGTATAAACTGTTGATTACACTTGAAACACGAGAGGATATTAAAAAAATCTCAGAGTTTTATGCTGATGATTTAGTAGGTTCATATAAGTTACTTTGTGATGTCGAATTTTGGTATAAAAATCTTGACAGAATAGATTCTTTGAGACCAAAAAATCCTCTGCAGGCCCTTTCCATGTGTAATTGAATTTTAGATTCCCTTCCTAATATCAAAACATTATTAATTATTTTAGCTACCTTGCCAATTAGTACCTGCACTAATGAAAGGTCTTTTTCAACTTTAAAAAGGTTAAAAACCTATTTAAGAAACACAACCGGTGAAAAACGTTTAAATGGATTAGCCCTATTGAATATTTATAAGGAGATTATTTTAGATAAAAATTTGATTCTAGATGAATTAGCAAAATCTCAGAGAAAAGATTAGATCTCTCTTTTTAAATTCAAATCAAAAAATAGCAATAAAATTTTATTAGTTTTAATATATAATCAATTTATTTTTGTAAAAAAAGTATTATTTATAAGATAATATCATCATATTTTTTTAAATACCATTATTTGCATAAGAATTACACATATTTTATATAATTGTAAAAAATTACTTTTTTTTAAATAGAGTCTTTATACATTATAATTTTTAATATTAAAATCTGTATTATATAAAATATCAACATTTTGAAAATATTTTAATTAATAAAAATATATACATGATTAAATAAAGGAATGTAAAATATATAATAAAATACCCTAAAATTTTGTTATATGAAAATATAAAACAATTTTAACAAATCCAAAAATATAAGCAATTATGTTCAAAAAAATGGGAGGTTTGGGAGACGAAGCCCCCCCCCCAAAAAAATTAAACCACCCCCCCTCCATGATAAAATCCTGGCTACGCCACTGAACAGAGACAAGTATCCATTTATAGGCCTGACCCTGGTTTGTCAAAAAGGATTCTAGTAGAGGTTTGGAAAAAAATAATATTAAAGGCAGCCTTAAAAAGGGCAGAGCTCGCAATTCGCATATAAAAAGTAAATTTATTTATTATTATTATCCATTAATAGGATTTTGGTAAGTTTTATAACAAGTTACTAATATATAAACCATAATATTGCTATCCTTCAATACAACGTCAATCAGGTTGGGAGCCAGCCCAACAAATATCTCGTAAAACGACATTGGGTTCATCATCAAAAATATACCAACAAAAGTATCCAAATTTTCCTTTTCCTCTTTCAGATTGTGGTTATAACCGTTGTTGGAACTTGAATAAATGTTATTAGCATTGTTGCTCGTAAACGGTAAGCAAGTAGAAGAATTCACCATCAATTGAAAAAAAGACTTCAGAGTAGGGTCGGGAGAATTCGTGTTAAATGATGTGAAAAGGACCAATATAGACAGGCAACGTTTAACGAACCCCACGTAGAGTTTTATTTCTTCGGGGAGAAGTAATTTTGACTGATGGATGTAAGAACCTTTATAAGGGGTGATTTAATATTATTTTTAAATTGCGAAGTATTAAAAAATAAGATTATTATGATGTTTTAAATAAACGAATCTAATAGAATTTTCTTATTTGATATAATTCATGATATTTGAACATAAGTAATATCATAACATACTTGATCTATATCCTTTACAGGTGAAATAAATGATAGATAATTTAAAGAATAATAAGAAAAATAAAAAGGGTATTATACTAATGTCATTAATAAATTATTACTGTTATATAATATTACTTATTCCAACTTTACAAGTCAAAATGCCCCAGGTTACCGTTTTGACACCAGTTATAAGAGTCTTGATTAAAACTTTTATATCATTCGTGTTATTGAACACGGTTGTAAAATTATGAGATGGCGAATAGGTCTTATTTTCCGATATCTTAGAGTCGAATAATAGAAATAAATTATGTAAATGAAATATGAAATTGTATTTTCTATTATTCACAAATATATATTTTTTTTTACTAAATTTTCAAGATCGTCAATTGTTTTATCTTCATGCATTTTAAGATCAAGGTTCATCTTTTCTGACCTAAACCGAAAAAAAAATTTTATGGAATTGATTTGGATATTATATGCAAATAATAAAATAGGAAATAAGGGAATAACTTAAAATCCAACAGTCGTTTAGAATTGAAGTGCTCTATGCATTTTGAAATTTTACCTTTATTATGTCGATTTTAGGAAGATTAATCTCATTTTTTATAGTTTTAAATATAAAAATTTTATAAATTCTCTAATATTAAACTAATTAGACATTCTTTACGCGTTTTTTTAAATTCATAAAAATATTTAAAATTTTGAAGTATTATAGCATTCAAATTCTAAAGTGACATTGTGTATTGGAAAAACTAATATACTGATTAATAAAATGTTTAAAAATTAATTTTAATTTATTTCGCAATATTTTTTGAAATAATATTAAAACTGAAAGTTAACTTATGTAAAAAATGTTTAGAAATGTACCGGATCTTAAATATACATAATATTTCCTTATATCGGATAATTTTTCAAATGTTTAGTCAAAACTTTGGAGACAATTTCTGTTGGAAACATTAGAAATGTTAATTTTTGTTTTCTTAAAAAAAAATTGAAACTTATAAACGTTAAATAAATATTTATTTATAAATTTTAGATAATATTATAAGGAATAAATTTATATTTTAACATTTATTATCATTGTAAAATTAAATCCATACTGTTATTGATGGATAAATAAAGAATAGTCAATTTTTTTTAATACTTAAAATATTCGTGATATAGAGCTTTTTATACAATATTTTATTAAATTAAATTCTTTACAAGAGTTAGGTTAAAATATATCGTTATCAGATTCTGCCAGTGGGCGGAAATCTGTATCCGGTACATCTCCAGTATATAAGTGTAATTTAAATTAACATTAATCGCTTGATCGATTCCGTGATTTCAACTATTTTGTATTTAGCTAGAGCCTTGAATTTCAGCACAAAAACTCTAAGAATTTTCACTAGGATTGATCTGCCCTATAAATGATTAAAATTAGATCGATTTTTTTATTTATATAAACATTATATGAATACGATCAATATTTGATAAGTGGATATAAGTATAATCTAGGTGGTGTAATTACAATTTTTTTATAACACGAATACATATGAATATTAAGATCAATTCAAAAAACATCTTTTTAGGGTGAGTATGGATAGGTTTATTGTAGACCTGCAAAGGGTGGGCTAATAAAAATAATATGTAAATAGGTGGGCAGGCTGGTAAAAAGAAATTTTTTTAATGGGCATCAGGTTATATATGAAATATTTTATGGGCGGAATAGGAGGATGGCTCTATATCTATATCTATTCTATTAAAAATTAATTTTTATATTGCATTATAGTTATATAAATATTATATTGAAATAAAATAAATAAAAAGTCAAGCCAACTAATCATTAAACGGGATTTTAAAAAATTTTTAATGTTAAGAGGGAAAACTCCTCGTTGTAAACCTTTGGTTTGTTGATTTGCTACCCTGAATAAATTTCAAAAATATTTTTCCCATTTTTTTAAAAAAAAACTATGAGAAAAAATATATATGGGGAAGGAAATTCAAAAAAAAATTTTAGTGGGGTAAAATATGAAATTTAAAGGGGATATTAAAATGTCTTTATATAATAAAAACGGACAAAATTTTATAAAAGTTTTGGGGAAAACATGTGACTCAACATGAATATTTAAATAATACAATTCGTTTTAAAAAGAGAAAAAAACCATTATCATATCATTCAGAACAAACTCGCTCTACCACCTTAATACAGAGTTGATAAATAATCTAGGTATATATTTGTGATCCATATACATTTATATAAAGTATTTTTTTACAACTCTGTAAGATTATTCATTTGAAACACTAAGTCTTAATAAGATATTTTTTTAAAAAATTTTAATTAAACCTTTTCATCATTTTCTGTTTCTGCTCTAATTTTGACGCACTCCACTAAATTGAGGAGCAGTTTGCAGGAAACATTTTGGATACTGAAAGGAAGGGAATCGTCTTGAATATTTTTGGAAAATACGCTAAGCGCTAACACTAATTGAGATAACGTTAAATTTTGTCTCAAATGGTGAACCATGTCAGCCAACGAACTATAAGCCAAGGGGCTGACATTTTTAATGCAATAAAATAATTATAAATGTTTTCGCAGTAATAAATAAAATAGGAAAGTACGATATCACAATATTAAACTTTTTAGGTATATATTTTATTTTGGTATTGCTAAATATTGTGGATGGTCACGTTTTTACTTTCATTGGAAAATTAAAAAGACACTAAAAAACAAAGAATATTTTTTAGCATAATACGTAATTAATTGTTTTAATCTAAAATTATTTTTAAATGTTTTTACATGATATTCTTATTAACCTAAAGAATCTGCAATATCTGTGTAATATTTTTATTTTTATTGGTAAGTAATTTTTTTTAAAAAGTAAGTTACAAGGTATTATTCGGTTAAAAATATTTTTTAAACCATCCCAGTTAAAAATTTGTAAAATATAAAATTTTGCATAATATAAAAACATTTTAAACAATATTAGAACAACTACATATTTTACTTAAATTTTATAAAAATTTTCTAATGAAAGCAAAAACTTGGTATTCAATTTTTTTTATATAGATATAGATTGGTCATAGTGATACTTACTTAAAATTTCCTAAAAATAGGAGAAACTTATTATATTTTGCAAAGATTTTAAACTTTAGAATGTGGTTAAATGAGCCATCATATTGAAAATAAAAAAGATTTTTGTTAAATAAAATGCATGTACTTTCTTTTAATTTATCATTATTTAAATAATAAATCCTTAATTGAATGACAAGCGATAAGAATGAAAACAGGCCATTTTTTATATTTTGACCCTTGATATCTCCAAAAATTTACGTTATAAATAGTGAAGGTTTTGGATTGGTCCGGCTCGGAGCCAATTTCTAAAACCAGAAAACAAATAATTCCAGTCAAAATTGGAACATGGACCACATATAAAGGAATCAGACCGTGATTAGTATATTTTTTTGGTAATACCCAAAACAAATATTATATAAAATTAAAAAATTTACATTTATTTGCAAATATAGGTGTTATATTTTGATCATAACAATCTTTTTAAAAAATGTAATATTAAAACTCCATTATATAATACTTTACAACTCTTTAATTATTCTGCACCTCCTTTAATTGTACTATATATGATATATCTCTATCCTGTGATAATTAATAATATCTTACCTTTATTTATTTAATAATAAATTTATTATTATAACAATTTTCTTGTTTTAAAATAACTCAATTGACTTTGTGCCTAATATTCCATAAGCATCCATGGGTTCAGTCATGGAACTTGCCATTTTTATAGGATCAGGAATATATCTCCTAACCCTTGTATATTTGTTCCGAGAGAGGTTAGAATGCACAATCTATCCCAGTAGAAAAGTGGTTCCATCTAACCCAAAACTAATAGGGCCATGTTCATGATCAATTTCCAAACCGTCACTCTCTCAGGAATTAATATTAACTTTAGAACATCAGAACTGTTGTAAGTGTGCTCATACGTGGTTTCGATAAGATCCTGAGCAAATAAAAACCACTCAACAGTTAAAAACCTCATAAAGGCCTTTGATGAGCTTTTAAATTTTGAAAATGACCTCTTCTACACTTGCAACCGAGTGGCTTAAGCAATTCCTAATTCCAAATTAAAACCCCGATTAAAAAATTGTCTCCCCCGTATCTTCATAGAAAGGAAGGCCCACATAAGAAGATTGCATTCTCTAGCTAGTAGTAAAGATAGATAATGTTATCTATTAGATTTAACGTTGTTAATGGCAAATAATATTTACAGTTTAGTAAGGGTACAAATAATAAATAAATAAAAGTGAGAACTAGTTTTGTTTATGAATAAAACTTGAATAGATTCAAAAATTTCTTGATATTTTATATATTTATTCGATAATTATTAAAAGATAATATATCATTTTTTTTAATTGTTCAAACTATAATGAAGACTGAACCATAACATGAAACCGATTCTATAGATTAAAACACCATGGTTCAGTCAAAACCTAGAAAAGTGGTCCTTTAACAATCATTAACTAACATGCTAAAATTTTGACCACACCTTTGTTACATGTAGCTTAAATTATCTATAAAATTTCACTAATAGCCCAATTTCCAAGGGGTCAATTGTGTTAATTTATTTTTTAAATATTGAGTATTTTATTTAAAAATTAGTATTTGCTCTTTTTTAAAAAAATATCGGCCAATCTAATATCTGCATCACTTAACTACCAATTTCTAATATCATTGCTTTATATATTTATTATTTAATTAGATGTATTATATTTAGAATTTAGAATTGGAACTTTCAGAAATGGGACAAATTCAAAATTTATATAAACCAGTTCAAACAAAAGTGCTAGTAATTTATCTATTGTTCAAAATGTTGCGTGATTCATTTTAGAGGGTCTATTTACCATTCAAAATTTTTTTATTTGCATTAACTGTTTGTCAGAACCATAAATTTAAATTTAAAAACTAGAACCAAAACCCAATTTTTAAAAAATGTTCAGGAATCTAGTTTCCTTTTTCAGTCTCAAACACTGATATTATTCTATAAAATATAAATATATTTTTATATTTAATTGTAAAAAATGAATAATTTGTCTTATGAAAGTCTACATACCATAAGGTGTCAAAACAAGTCAAACTCTGTCCCAGTAATAATTTGTGATCCAATATTTCATTTAAATGTGGAATAAACTCTAAATGTTAAAAATATATATTAATTAAAAAAATATACTCAAATATTTTTTGTTGACTTACTTAATTGTGGAACAAATTAATATTAAAATCTAACTTCATTACTTTTTAAAAAGAAATTCCTTTAAAAAAATAGAAATTTTTATAGCTACTATTTGATTATATGAAAAAGAAGGAATTTTTATAGCTAGTTAGCATTTTCAGGCAAAAATTTAAAAAGATAAATAATAGAGTTAGTATTAAGTAATTTATTGTTCAAATAAAATAAATCCAGACACTCATGATATGGAATTTCTATATTTAAAAAATAATTTCTTTGATAATTAAACTTAATAAAATTGCTTAATATTTATTTTAATAAATAATTATATATTCATGCAAAATATATCTAATAATAAAATATTTTAATATAAATAAGATATCCAAATAATGTGTGATTTTATTAACTATTTCTTAAATGAGTGGCTTGAATGTGTCTTAAGGCAATGAGAATCTCTTTGCGCATATTAGCTAACTCAGGTGGACAATATTTAAGTAGCGAAACAATTCCTTTGACTAAATCAGTTGAGTATTGATTGAGAGGCTCCTATAATTTTATGTAATGACAGAAATATGACATAAAATTTGAAAACATTTATGATTATAATAATAAAATGGAATATTCATTATTTTAAATTGATTTTACTTGAAAAGGACGTATAATGTAGGCTATAAAGGATAGTATTTTGACTTGTGATGTGGTAAATTCACAAAAAATTTCTTTGTTAGAAGTTGTTAAGGCATTACTTAAAATGATTATTTTATAAATTTGTAAGCTAAATATTACATTTGTTTATTTTTTAGAGGTTCCAAACAAATATAGAGAATTAAGTTTGGTATCATGGCACCAACATCCTGATGAATATTAGGTTTATATAGTTGATATACTATTACAACAATGATAGGTAATTCTGATAAAACTTTTAGTGACAAAAATGATTTTGGTAAAAGAGTATATTGCTGAGTTTGCTAAATATGTTTATTGTATTAAGTCAATATTTATTTTTATATTAACTGCAGGGTTTTCTAGTGATAATGGTTTGTTTTCCAAAGTTATTGTTAATGGATAGTATAAATGATTTAAAAGGTTCAAAATAATATCACCTTTTAAACTATCACATTTAACATTACCCCTATTTTCAAATATTGACTCATACGAATTTGACAAATCTTTAATTTTATTGGTCAGAAAACTTAAAAACTGAGGTATCTATTAAATATATAAAAAAATTAATAATTTTCTAATTTCAAATACTTCATTAAACATTGGAGGCCTATACTGTTTTAACAATTCCAAAATAATTTTAATCATAATTAGAGCATTACATTCATTTTCATATGCTAACAATGCTAATATAGTAGATAAAATTTGTTTAACATAGGTTCTTAGTTGATCATTCGAGGGTAATCTATATATAATTTCAAGAATCAATTTTCTTTTTTGCTATAACATTATGGTTAAAATGAGCTTAATTATTATAAACCTGCTCCAAACTTTCAGCTATAAAATTTATTGCTTCTTCTTGTAAGATTTTCAAAAAATTTGGTATTGTAATTTCTAAAAACGTTTGATAATCAGAGGCTGATACAATGCTCTTAAAAAATTTAAAACATATATTAAATTATTTGTTAAATTATAAGGATAATTATGTTAAAAGCAATAGGGTATTAATAATATTTCAAGACGCCCTTAAATAGATCCATTTTAAAAAATGTAATTAAAAAACTTCTAATTTATCGTTTATTTCTTGAATTGATTTAATTTTTGCCTCTTCGTTTACATTGCTGTCACAAATATTCGTAATTAGTGAAGAATATTTAGACATTATAAATAAGTTAAAAATTTTATAAAAATTTGAAAATCATTGAACGAGAGGTTTGAATAATTTCATCTGATGGATGACGTCTCAAATATTGACATGTAATTTATCGTGATTAGTGTTGTTAAAATGCCCGATTTGAATAGATTTTTGAAACAGACCCAATTAAGATTTTAGCTAAGATAATATTTTGTAAACATTGAGATTTGGCAAAAGGATATCAAAGCATTTCTTCCACATATGTGTAAAATCTAAAGGTTAAATAATGTTATTTTGGTAATAATCTTAAACAGGCCGTTTTTTAAATCGACTAGTATCTGGCTTTTTAACAACACTAATCGCCAAGCCTTCAGTGCCAACCAAAAACCAGTTGATAATAAAACTAAAACTTTAAAACTAGTTTCTTTGACAGTTAAAAATATAAAATGTTTTATTATAGTATAAGATTGTAATAATATCAGAAACATTAATTTATTAAATAATGAAATATATGTTTTTGAGTTAATTTAACAGGTAATTTCATAGATATTGTCATTATACCTATATCAATATATAAATTAGTTTAGTTATATCTTTAAAATTCTTATATTCATACTAGATAACCTCGCAACTCTTGACAATTGTTATTTTATTATTATAAACTTTTATTGTATTATTTAAATCAAAATTATAATTTTTATTTCAGATAAATATGTAAAAAATATATTAATTTTAATAGATGCAAGATAATTTATAAATAAAAAGATATATTTTGAAATCTGCATCCATTAAAGAATAAACAGAAAATATGTTTTATTAGGTTGGATATGCCATTCAGTAGCATCACTGGAGAGGTGGGAAAGGCAAGTTTCCAGCCCCCTGGAAAATTTGAAAAGCTCCCTCAACAATTTGAAATATTATTTGATACCAAATATTGAACAAATTTAGTAATAGTTTGGAAAAACGAGATTTATCTAAATACTTAGGGTAATTAGTAGTGTTGTTAAGGCTAACTCAATATTTTCAGAAAAATATTGCCTAAGCCTTGAGATCTCGCTAATAGATGTCCAAACCTTTGTTCCTTCTGCAAACAAAATATTCAGGCTTGCGTAATACTATTCTGGATGAAATATTGTGTTAGCCGTTTTTAAAAATCAGCTCAAAACGAGCAGTTTAACAACACTAGTAATTAGTACATAAAATATAAAAAATACGCCAGATATGAAATGCTATTCCGGTTAAGGGAAGGATGATCCTAGATCAACCTTAAAATTAAATAGGTATACGCAGTTATGAATACCATTGTCATTTAATTTAAATAAAAGGTGGGGGGGCGGGGGGGGGGGTACGGAGGAGTGCTAATAGGAATAACAAATGAAGTAATAAAAGATGACTAAATTTTTACTTATGCATATTAATTAGATGTTCTGAAAATATTTATATTTTTCAATTTGATACATTTCTCCTTTATATACTTTTTAAATATAATTATTGTCGGAGAGCACCTTTATAGTTAGGTTGCATTTCATATGGTTTTTTTTAAATAAATTTTTCTTAAGTTTTTAAATACGATTTGTTGGCAAGGGTTTAGAAATACAACCAATTTTAAAAATAGAAATATTACAACAGACAATTGGTTTACAAGCTACTAATTAGCCAATAATATGTTAAATTCACATTCCTTAACCATAATAGGAACTATAAAAAATAAATAAAAAGCAGGTACCTGCTTGCTTTCTTTTTTTATTTTTTTTATTAAATAATAAGATATAAATTCAAGTTTATTTGCTTTAGAGAAAATAAAACTACATACCAAAAAAAGTATAAGAATGTAGTGTTGCTTTATACTACATTATGATAACAAAATTGATGCGTCAACTGGTGAGTTGGAAAAACCGGAAATTATAACGTTTTATAATTTAACAAAAACTAGATTTTATGTAGTTGATCAACTTTGCTCCATATATTCTATTTCCAGAAAATCGAATAATGACCATTGACCCTTTTTATACTATGGTTGTTAATATGTTAATAATAAATGCACAGATAGATTATAAAGCTAATAATTTATTGAATATAAAAAGATCCAAAATTATTAGCAATGGAACTCATAAATCAATATATGATCAGCAGATATGGGAACCTTCGTATATGTAGATTATTACGTAACAACATTGGGGATGTTTTCAATATAATTGATGAAAAGCATATTCAATCATTTAAAAGGGAAGATGTTATGATTGTCCAAGTGTTAGAAGACAAAAAAACAACATTTATTTGTTCAAATTGTTCAAAATTTATTTGTAAAGATTATATGCATACATTTTATAGTGAATGTTATTTATATAAATTTAATGATATTTGATGAATAATATTTTTTTTAATATTTGATATTTTTTTAATAAAATTTATTTAATTATCATTATTCAACATTTATTTAATAAATTCTATAATAAAATTTGCATTTTTTAATTTTTTTTTGGTGATAATACTATAATTAAATAAGGTTCCACCCCCTCCAAAAAAAAATTTAAGCAACTTTAGGAAAATTTGCATAACATTTTTTTTGGAAGTAAATATTTATATAAGATTTTTTATTTATTATCCCCAATATTTTTTAATATATATTCAAAATTTTATATCTCAAATTTTAATATGTTCAGAAATATAGATAATCAAATTTGGAGTAAAATAGATCTCACCTTTGTAGTTACGGAAGTTTGTCCCACCTTTGTATGGAAGGGTTAAAGATATATGGATCATTTGTTGAAAGATAGTTTTATGACTGGGGTTTATATTTATGGTGTCATTGTGTTAGATAAAAATGACAATGAGCATATCAATCTATAATCAGTTTTAAAGCGGTTACAAGGAGCAGGTTTGAAAACAAGATTGTCAAAAGTAAATTTTTTACAAGATACCGTATCTTTTGTTTAGGAGTTAAAATTGACAAAACATAGAATTCATCCGACATAAGAAAAAGTAAAAGCCATTAATGAAGCTTCGACGCCTACAAATATGCGCCACAACTTTTCCCGATTTGAATAATCATGAAAGATTTATTAAAAATCTACATGGAAAGGCTGCTCCTTTACATTGATTGACCAGCCATCAAGTTCATTGGGCATGGCCCTCAGTAGAGCAAACTATTTTTTAAGAAATTAAACGTTATTAGTTACTGGTTAGACATTAATGACATATTCGCCTGATTTGCCATGCAGTTTTATTACATACTCTCTATATAGTAGAATTAACAAACCAATAGCATATGTATCAAGGACGCTGTTGGATTCATAGAAATATTGCGTCAAATAGATTAAGAAGCTTGAGTATTCTTGTTTAAGATAGAGAAGTTTTACTATTTTATTTATTGTGAGATTCTGTTTGATCACGAATCATAAACCATTAGAACGTCTGTTTGGCGAAAAAAAAAATCTTTCTAATTTCTAAATTTAAAAGATGAGCTTGGAAGATGTCTCAATAAGATTTTAATTGGCGCATTATCTTGATTACCTATTAAGGAAGATACAATAAATCGAGATGTTACACACGCTAATCATATTTATCATATTGATTTAGATGCCATGATGTTGTCAGAGGATAAATTAAGACAAGAATCAAAAATGGATTGGGAACTTAAGTGCAAAAAGGAGAAAGGAAAGAAAAGGAAAAGGAAAGAGAAAAATAGAAAGAAGGAGGTAAAGGAGATAGAAAATATTATGGGAAATGTAAAGCGAACCGTAAGAGTAAAAGTGTGAAGGGAAGGAAAAAAGGAAAATGAAAGATAAGTAAAATAATGAAAAGGAAGAGGGAATAAAAAAAGGAAAAACGAAAGAAAAAGGAGAAGGAAAATGGTAGGAAACGTAAAAGAAAAGGGGAAAGTGAAAGTAAAAGAAAAAGGGAAAGTTAAAGAAAAGGGAAAATGGAGATAAAGGAAAAGTGAAAGAAAAATAAAAAGGGAAAGAAATAAGAAAATGAAAGAAATAGGAAGATAATGCAAAAGAAAAAGGGAAGGAGTATTAGAAAAAAAATTGATGGAAAGATAAAAAAAGAAAGGAAACGGGAAGATGGAAAATAAAAGAAAAAGAAAAAGTAGATAAAAGGGACAAAAGAAAAAGGGTTAGGATAAGAAAGAACAAGTAAAAGAAAATACAAAATGAGGAAAAAATATAAAGAAAAAGATAAAGGAACAATAGAGAGGGAAAGGAAAATGACAAGGAAAAAAAAATGGGAAAGGAGATAGGAAAAAAAATCTTAAAAGGAATAGGAAGAGGAAATGGTAAAGAGAATGTTATTTTCTTGGAAGGCAGGAAAAGAAAAAGTTAAAAAATTTTTTGAAATCTTTTATTTAATTTTACTTTTATTTTTATTACTATTACTACTACTGAATATATTGAAAATTTTACAACTATATATATTAAATACTATTTACATATATACAATTTAAGGTTAATTTTTAACAAATTCGTCCTTAAATTAAATTAACATTTAGAAAATTAGGAAAATATAAAAGGTCATTAAATAAATTTAAAAGAAAGAATTTTTACAAAAAAGTCATTAATTAAAAGTAAAAAATATGCAAAATTTGTATATTAACATTTCCCAATGTCTTCTTTCCTCAGTTTCTTATCTTCACTTCCAGTCATTTGTTTCTCAATTGCTCCATTAGTCATTTGTTCGTATATCTTTAGATTGTTTGTTTGACCATCTGATTATCGTTTGTTGAATGGATTATCGAACATCATGAAACATCGTTGTTGGACATCATTGTTGAAACGTCGTTGGTTGAACATAGCTTGTTGATTTGCTGTTTGTATTCATCATCCCATTTCTCTTTCAAAATTTTATATATATATTTTTTTTTTACAAAATTTTTATTTATTTATAACAATCATTTTCTATGTCGTAGGTCATATTCTCGCTTTTGAACTTGACTTTGAATTTTTGAACTTGAACTTGACTTTGAATTTTTGAATTTTGAACTTGAACGTTCACTTCTTCCCCTCTAAAAACTTTTTCTCCTTTGT